TTACCACTGTAGCTAGGTAGCCTGGCTTCCTTACCTCGAGGCTTTACATAACGGTGTTTGATAGTCACCTACGAGAACGGTAACTGGACTGGGTACAGATGTGAGAGTGAAATGCGCAGCCCTCAAAATGGGTTGCTTCGGTTTGTTGTGCTTGTTCTTTTTTCTGGAAGCTTCTCATCCTTCACTTGCTGCTGACCTGATCCCAGGCAGATTCATGCAGCGCGTCCGGCAGCGGCGAGACTGGGCGGAGGGCAAAGAGGTGGTCCCCTTGGCGGAGGATCTGCAAGGCGCGAGGTCAAATCGGGCTGATGGTTTGTGGGGCCAGACTTTTCGTAGCCAAGGTCCCCCAGTAGTTCCCTTTCACCCCGTATTAAAATAATCTACCTAAAACAGGGTACCCTTATTCTAACCACTCCACTGGAGGACCAAGTGGCCTTTTTGGGGGGTTCAAAGGCAAAGGGTCTTTGGCTGCGAAATGTGCTGGCATTTCTCAGTTGCTTAGGTCTTTCCGCAGGTGAGCCACAATCAATTCAAAACCTGGGTAGATGGGGATATAAGCAAGGGTTTGTCCCAACCGTAGCTACCGCGGCTTTTTGGGTTGACATCTTGGTACCAGGGTTTGATTAAGACTCTCATGTCTTTGGATTCCACGGTGCGTTAAAGAGTTTGTGGGGGGTCGGGGGGGAGGATCCTAAAGGTAGCCCAGTTCTGAGTGCATTCCACCCCGGAAATCCAATCTTCTTGGGGTTTGGGACTCACTTCTGGGGAGTCCATGTCCCGAATGGCCCCCACAAGGCTACAAGAGATCAAACGCCTAGCCGGCAACAAACGCCCTGCCAGTTCCCCAATCGCAACCATCTCTGCAGGGTTTCCCTATTTAGAGACACCCATTCGTACATTTTCCCTCAGAGGCAACAAACCTTGCCGGTTCCATTTGGACATTATCTTGCCAAACTGGGAGCCAACCGGCCCCTCATTGTCCGTTTCCTTACAAAAGGAAGCCAACCGGGGAGCGTATGTGTCCGGATTCACATTTTTGCTTTTTGTGGTTTGGTGGGAAATCCCCACTTAACTGCAGAAATTTAATTTGTTGCTCCCCTTCCAACGAACCAAGGTAAAGCGGATGGAAGAAAGCAACTGACGATCCAGGCAGAGAAAATCATCGGAAGTCCGCCAGGCCTGGAGAAGCCTCCGCGCGGCCTGCCGCAGGTGCCTGAGGCCAGTAACCCAAGCGAAGCGGCTTGGGACGGTTTAGGATGTGTCATATCAAAACCACCCCTTTCATGGAAACCAAAGGGAACCAAACTTGACTGCTATTGGGTTGGATCTTTAGACTTCAACTTTTTTGGAAATCAAGGGGTTGTCCACTAAACCCCAAAATAGTTAAACTTTTTGCGGGGGGGTCAACAGCAACCAAGCAAAGACTCAGAATCGATTTGTGCCATATGTCCTTTTTGAGTGTGTGGTGCTCTTTTCTTTGAGGCCCGGTACCTTTTTCACCTTGGTCTTTTGGGAAACCAAATGGAAATTAACCCACCCAACGTGGGGAGCTCCCTGTGTTGGTTGTCTTCCTCTTGTTTGGATTCCCTTGTTTGGGTCCGCTTTTTAGAGATTCCTGGTTTGCTTTCCCCTATTTCGAGCTCAGTTTTTGGGCGCCCCTTTTGGGATTCCCTCATGGGTTTCCCCTTTTTCTGGGTTGGCCCCTTTCTGTTTTCCTGTTTTAAGCGGCGCTTTTTTTGAGTTGCGCTTCTTAGCTTCCGCTTTTCTTTTCTTTTTTACGTTCCCTTGTTTAGTGCTCCCCTGAGACTTCGGTGTTTTACGATGCGTTCTTTAGATTTCGCCCTGGGATAAGGATGCCTTACATGTGTTGGAGTTGTAGTTGTCGCAGAAGGTGCGGTTGAAAGTAGGCGCCTTCAACAGATTCGTTGAGTGCGTTTGAACTTGATTCTTGGTAAGTGTCTCATCCCAATTGTTTAATGTGGCGAGAAAGACATGAGAGACACTCACGTGCTGCAAGCAAACACTGACAGTTTGGCTTCAGTCACAACAAAATGGTTTTGTCTCAAAATGGGGGCCGGAACTCACAAAATTGGGCTTCTTGCGATGTGAAGTGTTGCAAGAACAACAGCACATTCTTACCCGGTGACTCATCCCCCAGTCAGGTATTGTTCCGGCAACATATTTGTCTTTTTAATTGTTTTTAATTGGGAGCTTCTTGAGGCGAGCAAGGAGCTAACATATGGGACATGCGGGCAGCATCGCAGCCAAGTTCGCGACAAGCGCAGCGATGGCACCTTCGCGCCGGGGGAACCCATCCCCAAATTGAAGGTCAAGGGCAAGCTTCCGGTGACCTCCCATGGTTTGCTTCTTTTTTCCACTTGGAGGATGGTTCCCTGTAAAGTCAACAACCCAAAGAAAGCTACCCTTATGTTTCCCCTTGGCCGCGGGCGTTTGGGAAGAAGATTATAGGTACCCCGTGTGTTTTGCCACAACCACGTTTTATTAGGAAGTGGTTGCCCCCAATGGCCATCCCATGTCATTTGCTGGTGCTCAGCAGGGAATGAGGGAATGACCCCTATAAACCATCCCTGACGTTCCCTTTCAGGGGACCCCTATTCCCTTATTCCCTACCTACAGCAAGGTAAAGGACCTTTTGATCAACCCCCATGTGGATGGCTCGTTTTTTTTTATAGGGACCCCTTGTTTGGTTGGCAAAGGGAACCCCACTTAATGGTCATTTGAGGGCCAGGAATATAGATCAACCCCCATTTGTTGCCGCCGTGTTGGCTCGCAGGAGGATGACATCGAAGCCTGACGCGAAGCCTGACTCGAGCCTTGCTTCAGCGCGGGGGTTGGCACGCCAGTGCCCGAGTCAAATCGGTGCAACGCCCGGCTTGGTCAAGGACATCACAACCATTCCGGGATTTTGCGGAATTTTCTGGGATTCTCTGGGATTTTACTTTTAAATGTTCAGGTTTTCCGTCCAACAACTTTGGGTTTGGAGGGCAAAATCTGGGTAGAATATGACTGGGTCCATGCAATGACGCTTTCTCAAACAAATCCTTTGCACGATGTCCACCCGGAAAAACAAAAATCATATTGCGAGCCCGAAGCCCGCCCAAGAAACATATTTGCTTTCATGAACCCAGTATGACCTGTTACAAGTTACAACTACACTTCCCGTTTCGTGGGGAGTTCACTTCACTTGGTTTAACTTGGTACCAACATGAAAGTTGTTCAGCACTCCAACGGGTTCAAGACTATAAAAAATGTCGACCCACCAAAGGGGTCCCCTTTTTCTACGAGGGTCACTGGGCAATTGGGAGCATGTCAATGGGTTCTGAGGGCTGGTTGCTTGAAGCGCCGACCCCTGGCCTGCTGCAAGAAGCGGGGATGGCAGTTGGCTGGCTTCAAAAAAGACACCAGCCAGCAAACATGCACACATGGAGGGCTTTACTAAATAGCATCAACTAGCGAATCTTGTTGGACCCCCCTTGCTAAGTCAACTTCACTTGGATGACCCCAAGACCCCTCCTGGTGGCTTGGGGAAACCCTCCTAATGAATTTAGCGGCGAATTCGATCGAAGGAGTCGGACAAAAAGGCGCTTCGAGGCTGTGAAAACATGCGAGTGAAGACCAGACACCAGCAATCAACACTTGGCTGTGGGTCAAAAGCAATGGGATCCGATTTTGGGGTAGGTGCACCACCCATTTTAGGACCTATTTTAGTGGGGATTGGGATGTTCACTGGGGTACAGGCTGGTCCCCCAGTAGTGCCCTTTGACAAACTGTTTTGGTTGGGAGGGTTCCCCAAATAAAATAGACTACAGAAAAAAGTTGGTACCCTTTTTCTAACCTCTCTACTGGAGGACCTAGTAGGTGAAGGTTAGCAAGGGAAAGTCTCCAGAAGGTGCCGCCACCCTCCTTCTTTTCAAAGACCACTTCTTTTCATAGGGGTTGATTTTTGCCTTCTGAGCTTGACTTCCATGGCCACACAACACAACTAGTTTTCTCCCTAGAACACCACTGGTGCAAAAGCCCACCGGATGTTTGCTAGGTTGCATCGCTGGAGTTTAAAAAAAAAAAAAAAAAAAAGAAAAAAAAATATTTTTAAAGATTTCTCCATTCGTCAAACAAACCCAGTAAACATGGTAATGTTGAACCTTTTTGAATGTGACCCAACCCAGTGAACAGTGCCAACGGTTATTTGGAGCTGCTTGGTAAAAGGGGAGTGGGTTCGGGTTGGACTTGGACTTGCCAGTGCTGCCAATTCTAAATTTAATTTCCAGTACTTGGTTTTGTATTGCCGATTCTAAATTTAGTATTGCTAAGACTTAATCTCAATTTCCCAGAGTTTATTTTGGAATTGAAGTTTCCAATTTTGGTAGTGCCAAGGTTTAATCTTAAAATTCCCAGTACCCAATTAGAAATTGCCAAGATGCACCACCTTTCAAAATCAAACAGGTTAAGGTTTTAATCTGGGATTTTAACCCCCCCAGCAAAAAACCTTAACAGTAACAGTAGACCGTTAAAGAAGACCCCCAGAGTCAAATTAAACTGGTCAGGGCCTCCCGTGAACCCCTTTAGCTTTTTTGTTTATAAGGGGTTCATATTTGGGAAGAAGCCGGTTTGAGGACCACTTAAAAAGGAAAGAAAGTGCATTTCCCAGGCCGAAGGTCTCTAGCCTTTGAGCTGGGAAGACCCTGGTCAGATGACCCACCCATTCAAAGTAAAAGGCTAAAGCTGAGAAATTTGGGATGTTCAACCCCCCTCCCTCACGCTTGGCAAAGAAGATGCCAGAACAGGCAGATTCATCAGGATCAGGGGCTGACTGTTTGGCCTTGCTTCTTTTTTTCCGAGAAAGGCTTTCAGGGATTTATGTAAAATTTGATGGCTGGGGGGGGCGGGGCGCACGCGCAAAAAAGGAGTTGCTAGATCCAAGGGGCTTAGACAAACCATCATGAAAGTAAAAGGCTAAGGCTATCGCTTGAGCTCCGCAGGCTATTTGGTGGCGTCCTTCATGCGCATCTTGCTTGCGAAGACCTGAGCATAGGTTTGGTCAAGATTTCCTGAGTGGTCTCTGGTTCACTTGGGAGAGGCATGGGGGAACGAGCTCGAAGTTTCCCACCAAACCTAGGGGACTCACCAAGTCTCCCGCTTTAGGATGGGGTTAGGGAAGCCAGAACAGCACCGCCCAGTTTCCGCATGAATAATCACAGGTTGACAAACTGGCGACGTTCCCCTAGGGATGGGGTAGTTGCCCTAGGTCTAATTTGTTTCTGTGTTGTTTCCAGGACTGGCGGCTGGTTGTTTGGTTGGTTGGTTGGTTTGGTTTGGTTTGGTTTGGTTTGGTTGGTTGGTTGGTTGGTTTGCTTGGTTGCTTGCTTGCTTGCTTGCCTGCCTGCCTGCCTGCCAGCTTGCTTGCTTGCTTGCTTGCCCCGTTTATTGGACCCAATCAAGACAGTTGAAAGGCTCATGTTTGACAACTGACACGTCGGTGGTGGTGGCACTGGACAGCTGAACGCCTTTACAAAACCAAGTGTTATTTTGCACAAATGAAGAAGTTTGAATTTTGTTGAGGCTTTTCCTGCGATTGGAGACACTCAAATATGACCAAGATCCTGAATCGGAAACAGCGAGACATGAGGCACAGACTCGGCATAATTTGCCTGGAGCAGCCCCTGCTGCCCTTTTGACCCTTTCAAACTACCTTCAAAGCCAATTGGCTCGGCCTTTGCCAAACCTGCCAAACTCAACTCGGCTTGCTGAAGAAAGAGGCTTCGGGCGGCCAGCCCCCTGTGTATCTCAGCCGATCCCTTGGTGCTTGCCTGGAGCATCTTACAGATACGTTTGCGAAGATTGGTGCAAGCCCACCTTTATTGGAACTGGGGAATTGAGCAGGCCGGTTGTGGCCAACCCTGGATCTGTCTATGTTTACATCTACGTCCAGTGGATCTGCATCCATCCGTCACAGGATGGTTGCCTCCTTCGCCAACTATGCCGAGACAGTCTTGACAGCAGGCAACTTGGGCAACCTCATCGACGCGAACGTCATCTTTCAGCATGCACTTCTGCTCGGCCTTCTCGCCTTTTGTTTTCCCATATTGTGTCAAGATTTAGGGGAACCCTGGAAGTTTGGACCTAATTTCAGCATGTTTGTTTTTGCGCTTGGGGAGAGTTGTGTTTCCTTCCGGCACGTTTTGGCCCGAATAAACGTTGGGATGCGTTCTGAGCAAGCTGGGGCGACGAGCTGCGTCGCATCCATGGGGCGTCTCACCTTTGGCTTGAGACCGATACGGCCCTTGAACATGGTGCATGGCATCAGGCGTGTCGGTTGCGGACCCCACATTGAAGGAACCTATTTGAGCAGAGCTTTCGGGGTTCCAGCAAGCTGTCAGCTTCATAGAACGATTTCTGGAGAAGTCAGGGGAGAGAAAATGGGGTGGTAGAGGTCAGGTAGCATAGTTTTTGAGCAGCAGCCAGTAGTGGTGGAGCAAATGCTCATGCATTGTGTTGCCTTCGTGTACTCTTGTCACAACCTCAAGAGGACAGATCGTTATTACAAGTCGGATGGACGCGCGTGCTTGAATGTAAATCTATACAGAAGTGTGTGTGTGTGTGTGCGTGTGATTTCTGAATAAAGCCCATCCAGTTGCTACCCTAGTAGGTAACCAGGCTTGCATTTTACATGGTGGCTTCCTTCGATAAATCCCTAGAACTGTAGCGCGTGTGTGCCAAGGTTGGTAAGCTCAACGTAGCCACCGGCAGCTTGGTGTTCTGCGGGCGCCCCAATTATGAGACGCGCTGGGGAGTTACGCGAGTTGAAGGGTTGAGGAAACTGCGCATTTGTTTGGCGCTCGCTCCATTTTTGGGGTCCCCTGATTTGTTTCCCGTCCGTGCGCGCCAGCGCGAGGGTGTTTCAAGATTCCACCCGAAAGCCTGAAGCCTGTGGTTGCAGAAGCTTTCTCTTCCGGGCCATAGCTTCACAGTGGCTTCAGGACTGTAGATGTTGCAGAAGCTAGGGCGCAGTCACAAGTTCGCACACTTGGAACTTGATTATTGGCAAGAGTTTTCATCACACTTGCCCCTTTTTTTTGTTTGTTTGTTGTTGCTGCTCGTTGTTGTGGTGGGTGGGTGGGGTGGTGAAGTCAACCAAGAAACGGGTGCGGGTGCTCTTCTTTCCACAGCCAGGCAAGCGCGTTGTGAGCGCAGGCGAGTTTCTGTCCGTATCTTTGTCAAGACATGTCTTTGGGCAGCTGTTTGCGCAAGCAGGTGCAATCCAAGCAAAAGAAATCCAAGGATTCAGAACAAATTGACAAAATCCCAGACACAGGATCCCGGATTCGAAGTCCGCCAGGACATGTGCCCAAATTCCTTGTTGGTGATGGGGTGGTCGGCTGACTTGCTGTATGTGCTGGAAATGGTTTGATTGATCAGACTTTGCCTGGCGGCCTATCCAAAACCGCTTGAGCTGGACTCCGGGCCACCGACTGCTGGGGCAAAATGCGCCCCTTGTAACCCATGAAGGTCGCTGAATGACTCACTTCCTGAGTTGGTGGACTTTAAACTTTTTGGAAAGACCATTTTAGTGGTAAACCAAAAGTTCAAACTTTTTTGGCCAGTCAACTTGGGAAGTGAGATGAGAGGTGTCCTTATTTATTGGGGAAACTCGTCGAGTAAGACGGTTCTCTCTCGTATCACACCAAGCCATTGAACAAGAGCTTCAAGGGATGAAGGATCTGGGTGGTTTCATTGGGCATTGCTCTGGGAAAGCTCTCTCCCCCTAAGATTCTTCTGGAACGAAGTGGGCGTGGCTCAAAATTAAAGAGCTGGGGTTACGCAGGTTTTAGTCTTTTGGTTTCATTTACCAAGGTGCCGTTTTGGTAGCATATTTTGAGGCACAGCCAAGTGGCTTTCTGGATGTCTGAAACGGCCTTGGAAGCTTTGAGTTGAAGGCAGAAGGGCTTCGGCTGGGCTGGGCAACCTTCCCATGGTTTGCCGCAATTAAACACGCCCCAACCAGAAATGGGTGCGGCCGCACGTGTGATTCTCAACATGTTTTTGGGCAGAGTCCTTGGTAAGGGTTTGCATCAGGGACAATAGGAAGTTAGGTCATCAATGAGACATTCCTGCAATTGTGGTTGAGTCTTGTGAATGTGTCCAAGCGATCGAGGTTCCGGTGTTTCTTGTAGGTCGTTCACATATGCATGCTGCAAGGCGGCGTCCTTTGGTGTTTTGGGGCTTCGGCCACAGGCCTTTTGAACCACGTCCTGCTGGTCTGCGTCCCTTTCCTTTGCATCTCACGTCGACCTGCATCGTGCACCCGGCGAGTTGGGAGTTCTTCTATGTCTTTGTGTTTCTGTGTGCTACAAAAAACACAGTCGGTAGTTGCCGCTTGCGGACACACGTGTGGCTGCGAGGATGTGTTAGTACCTCTTGTGCTGACACGGTCGTGTGGCAAGGGACAACATTTGAGATTGGGTCATATCAGACAAGAAGGAGAAGGTTACATCGGCCTTCGCCCGTGTTCATGTTATGGCCACTCCAGGTGAAGCTCTCTTCTTTTGTGCACTGCACCATTGGCAAGCGGTGCTTTTCCACAAAAATAGGCGTGGGTTTGGCGGGCTTCCGCTGTGAAACTAGGATGGTTGCTAGTAGGAGCGGCTTACTGTTTGACATGAAAAAGTGCATTGCACTGTGCTTCTTGTGTAACGTTAACCCCAGACTAGTACACCCTCTCACTCCCCCATGAAGGTCAAGAAGTCAAGAAGGCAACTTGCTTAAACGAAATGGTACAGTAGGACACTCCCCCTAAGTGAACTCCTGCTAAGTGATTGGGACTGTACAGTTTGGTATGGGCTAAGTATTGTTCAACGCTGTACCAGCATTGTGTGGATCATTTGAGTTTCCCGTGCTGAATCTGGATTGTAGAGATTGGTAATCTCCTCCTCCAATTAATGAATGACCCCCATTAATAATAAATGCAAATCCGGGGCCCGAGACCAGATTTCCACTCCGCACAATTGATTTTCCATTGCGCCAATACTAAACCAATACTAAAGTCTTGGAATCCTTATTAGGGGATACAAAAAGAAACTGGTAAACAAATAGAATGATACATCAAATTTCCTTATTAAACCGCTTACTCGCGGACCTTACAATTCAATCCATTTCCTCCAAATCTTATGCGAACCCTCACATTGTTGGAAAAGCAAAAAAACCAACCCCAAAAAAACCAATTTAATATATATATATATATATATATATTTGGGTGGATTTGTTTATAACAGGGGGGGGCCGTATTTATTAATAGGGGGAAGAGATTATTGATTTCTTTAAGTTGCTAAATACTCGTCGCAGAATGGGGGGTCCAGATTGATTTGGGATTCGGAATCTTCGGGCTGAGCTCTTCACGTGTCCAGCCCGGACGGGAGAGTCGGGCGAAAAGTTGCTCGGAGTGCATCCGGCAGAGCCAACATCAAGGAGCAGGCTTCGTACATATGGGTATGGGTCAGAATCAAACTAGCAGGGGACCGCAGGGTTTGGGTCCATGTTTCCACCTTCCAGGGTTCCATTTTGGGCACCTTGTTTTGACCCACGGCCATATCTCAATGGCCCTGTCAACCATTCGCGAACGACCGTTTCGCGGCATTCAGCAGGTGCTTGGGGCTTGGGATCCGTCGCTTGTCTGCTTCGCGTGTTGGTTCACTGACGTCTTCTCGTCCTAAGTTTCCGAACCGCCCCAAAGTCACGCGTGAAGTCCCGTGGAGTGCTCCTCCCATACAAAAAACGCCAGGGATGCCTTCCCGCCTTCCTGATCTCCGGTGTTTGCACTGCACCGAAGGCTTCTTGGGCTCATCTCATAATCGACGGTTCATAGTTGTGTTCTGCCGGGTCAGTTACTCGGACCTGCTGTTTCAAAGTATAAGACGGTGCAGTGAAATCAAATTCATGGAGCTACCTGACGAGAGGGGCCATCATCCCCCTCGCCTTAGCTGGAACTTTAATTCCTTTGTCGCGGTGTTCCAGTTCAGTGGTTCTTGTTTCGCAGTTTCCCCGTTCAAAAAGGGGAGTGTGAGTGGGGATGGGCAGGCTTGGGCAAACTGGTTTTCACAACCCACCGCTTTGTTTTTGAAGGGGAAGTCAAAATTGCTCAAGGAATGGCGGTCACAAGCTTAAACAGGGCGGCTCAACCATGGGGCTGGTTGCCATTTGCTGCGTTGCCAGGATTCAGCTGCCCCACACCTTGAAAGAGGCCGGAAACTGCCGCGTTGCTTGCGACGGGGGGGTGAGGCTTCAACCCCATCGGGGGGAGCTGGGTGCGAAACAGCCCACATGCTTTACACCGCCTCGAAAGAAAACCCAAAGGGGCCTCTGGATAGTTGCCATCTTCGCAGACCTATCAGCAATCCAAGAAAACGCGCCAAGTATTACAGAAAGGATGGATTTAGGGACCCGATTTAGGGACCCAATTCCGTGGCGCCCGTTGACACTATCAGCCCTCACTCCCAAACCGGTCAAAGGCTTTTTGGAGGCCAGACGCATCTTGCGACGGGCGCTGACCGATGGACAAAACCTGCGTGACTGGCTTGCCAGCGAGGGAGGAAGCACGGTCAAGATTATGAAAATCACAGGATTCCGAATCCATGTTGGTCATATATACTAACATTCATTGTCTGTGTGGGATTGTATAATGTAGTCCATGCAATGGCATTGGGTATACTGGCAAAGCCGCCACTAGAAACGGCATGAAACAGCCAACCGAATTTCCAACACCAGAGCAAGCGCCCAAAGAAAACCACCAACGAAAATATGCTTTGTTGGTTCTCACTTCAACCCCAAAACGGGTATCATTGACGGAGTGAAACGTACAATTATACCGCACACTGCAAGTCAGGCTGCGGCTACATCCAGTCCAACCTCAGGACCAGGTATAGAAAACCGGGAAAACAGGGAGCAAAAGAGTAAAAACACGGCAACTCCACTGCACAAGTGCAGCTCGGTCCTCAACCGGAACATGCTCGCTGGTGTAATCAGCCCATGTCTAAGGCTTCACTCCAAGTGCCGCTATAGCACAGCGCTATGGCTGCAGTTGCTTGTGCTGTCTTCTTTTCGGGACCCCCCCCCCAACAACAAAGAAAAAAGACAAGACCCCCCCCACAGACAAAAAAAAAAACAAAGATAAAACAAAAGAGAAAAAGCAACAACACAAAAGGACTCTTGCATTAAATCAACAGCATGCTCGATGTTGAGCAGGGTCTGTATTTGTTACTCGCCGTATAAATAGAGATATTGCCGGGCGGCCCGATTGGGATGGGTTCAAATTCGGGGCCCTTGCTCCCGTGCAAATCAACCATGGAATACAAAAAGGGGTCCCAACAATGCGATTCCAGAAACATGTTAATCTGAAGGAGAGGCGGAGTGTCGGACATGCTTTGGAAGAGAGATGCAACACCGGCCAAAAAGGCAACGGACAAGAACCACAGCATCTTCTTTGGTAGTCCTGCTTCGGTTTTGCGTGGCAATATTGTCAGGTAGTCATATGAGTATGTGTCAAAGTAGGAGGGCCCAAAGGATGGTGGCTTTGGTTTTATATGTCCATCTCAACCAAACTGCATGAATAATAGGATTACCCACCTACCAGCTGGCTGTTGCAAAGCAAGTGTTTTTTTGTCCATGTAGAGTATAGCCAACGATTTTTCACCTGCAAAGAAACCACACGGCGACATCTAGGCCTTACTATGTCTCCCAAACAATTACGCATATAGTAGACTCAATCGAGCCACAAGCAAAACAGAGAAAAATCCCGTGAAGGTCAGTAAGTGGCGGTCCCAACCATAGGTGCGGCTCTGCGGCCTTTAGTTTCCTTGGGGTTTTGGGTCGACCCCCAGAAAGGTGTTGGCTCGGTAGCTCGGTAGCTCGGTGCGATCGAGGAAGTGGAGTCAGAGCCCACCGCTGGCTCCACCAGCACAGAGCTGAAAAGCCAACAGCTGAGCTCCGGGAAGGGCCTTCTGACCGGGGAAAAAGCAACAAATGAGCCACAATCAAAATCGGGTAGATGAAGGTTAGTAAGGGACAATCCCAACCAGAAATAGCTGCGGCCGCCGTCTTAATTCTGTACATGGCTCTGGGTAGACCATTTTACTACCGGGTTTTGGTTTTGACTCAAATGGCTTGTCATATCGTGCTGTTCTTGTCACGGAAAATATATATCCTTTTGACACACAAATAACAGCTGTGGTGTTGTTGTTGTTGTTTTAAGAGAGATCTATCTCCTTAAAGATACATGTGTTTGAAAGGGGTCTTTTTTAGATGACCTTTTGGATGTTGAAGGTCAAGTGGAGAAGTGTGCAAGTCAATGCTTTGACTCATTCTTTCAAAAAGCCGAGGCCATGGCACAGTGGACTCACTTGAGATGCATGCGACCCCGCTGCTGGAGTGCGATGACCAGGACGTCTCTGGGCTTTCCTCACGGGGAGTTTGGGTGTCGCACTTCAGGTCGTTGGACGTCGGATTTCGGAAAGTGGGAGTGAATCTGTTTGTTGAGGGTTCCTTTTCGTGGTTTTAAAGGGAAGCCAAAAGGAAGCCAAAATTTTGGGGATCCCTAAAACAATTAGACACCCATATCGCCCTCGGAGTTGGTTTGGAATGCATTCTTCACCTCCAACCTTTGTTAGAGACTGAGTCAGTGTCATGGGCAAGTTCAATCCTGGCCTACTTTGCGACTTTCGGCCCCAGGACAAAGGTGTTCTTTCCTTTCTCTTATTTTTGTGTGGTTGTTGGGCTTAAATGGCCATGCCTCCCAGCACCTTCCAACGACGTTCGGACAGTCGCTTTGGACATTGGCAAAAGCCCAGCAAGCTCTACAAAGCCACTTTGGGTTTCAACCTCACCTTTCTGGCCCTTGACAGGCGAGTCTCCATATGGAAAGGTGTTTGATTTTTTGTTTTGTTTTTCACGGAGCCCTGAGCAGTACCAGGCCCCCGGAAAGCATCCTTCATCATTACTTGGTAGCTCCCAGCCATCCGGTTCCTTAGCTTTTTAGCTTTTTGGGGTTTTGCGGGGTTTCCATTGAGACCACTAAAAGTTAAACTTTTAGCAGGGGATCTGAGGGCAGCCCAGATCAGTGGGGGTTGCAGTTGGATGTTGAGGAGGCCTCCACAAGTGCGGCCCGCACGGTGCCCGGAGCCTCAGAGCCTTCTTGGCCAGCTGGCCGTCGTAAAAAAATCGGGGGGGGGGGGACTTTCGGGCCCAGGGATGCCTTTGTTGAGGCTTTCTTGGGTGTTTTGGATGTGTGTGTGTGTGTGTGTGTGTGTGTGTTTTTTAGATGTATTTTGTTCTCGCTGAATTCAGGCACTGCGATGAAGCGCCAGAGAGATCATTGCCGTCCAAGCACGCTCAAGAGTAATCCAATCCACCCAAAGCTGGCAGCTGCACAGATTCACCGCTTGCCAAATTGGCATGGCGCCACGAGGGTGCACTGCCGAAAAGGGGGCGAGCGATCCGTAGATCACTGACTTACGCCGTTTGGATCGAGAAAAGCCGCAACGAGTCCCAAACGAGGAATCGATGTGAGCCAAAGGGCGGGCTTGCGGATTTATCTCCGTTTAAAACTATATCCCAGTTGCCCAGGGGTGCCAACTTGTCGGTTTTTGCTTTCCCTTGAGAAGGGTTCCCATTTAAAGTCAGCCAACCAAAAAAGGATGCTCTTTTTTCCCATGGCCAGTGGGCATCTGAGATATACACCTGACCATTTGCTCAAGAGGTCCAAATGCAGAATGAGAAGCCAGCCCCTTTTTCGTGAAATGAGCTTCCCGTGCTAGTGAAATGCTCAAACCTCTTCTCATTCAGAGAAGACCCTTAGAGTTTGCACTGTGTTGGATGTTTGACAGCCACCAATAAATTTGCCCGGGGCTTCGGTTCTGGACCCATCAACTGTTGTCTCGAGCGACCGCTTTCGGCGGCAGAAAGGCAGGAAGCACACGGCGGCATACAGGCGCTGCAACCGTATTGTAGTTCTACTGTGAATTGGTTTAGTATTGATTTGAATTGGCCTATTCTAAAAGTAGTATTGGGGACCCGGCCGTTGGGAAAAATAGTATTTATTAATAGGGCCCATTTATTAAAAGGGGAAGATATTACAAAGATGTAACTATTTGTCAGTTCATGTTTACAATCCCTTTAGCTTGATACGCCGCCAAACTCGTCCTCGCCTCCAACAGCAACGCCTCCCTCACTAAAAAGTAGCAGTCCCCTATTGCGTCAAGCAAGGTTCTACTTGCGCTTATACTTATCTTTGTATTTACACCTGTTATGTTTCATGTATTTACATCATACCCATACGTAGTGTCATACATGGTTTTGGTTGATCAATATTCCTGGCCCCCACATAATGGGTGTGAAAGTTGTATCTGTTTTGGTGGTTTCCCTAATGGGCACCCCATGTTTATCGGACCTTTTGATCCACCCCCGCTGGTGATGAACCGGAAGGGGATTCCCTTAAAGCAAGCCACCAGTTGGATTTTGCTTTTCCTCGGGTTCAGACTCCATGTCTCATGCCTCCAGGGTGTTGGGACTGAACCGGAAGGGGATTCCCGAAAGGAAACCACCAGTTGGATGGTCTATAGGGGTCATCCATTTCTCATTCCCTGCATCTCTCGAACCAGCCAGCATTTTTTGGAACCTGGGACATTTTTTGTCCTCGCTACGGCGCCCTGCTGAGCACCAGCAAGTTCTTTCCTATCAGCCGTACGGCTTAGGATCCAGTCCTTCCAGCGGATCGCCGTGCTGAAGTTGACACCCCCGAGCCTTTGGCCCGGTTACGCATGCCCCGAAAAAACGGGACCGGCCTCCGCTGGCGCTTTCCGCGGACGCGGCTACTATGGGGGTGTGTCTTTCTTTTTTTAGGGGTACCCCCTGTTTTAGTGATTTTTAAAAGGGACACCAAAAGGAAAACCACCATTTTGTGGGCACCATCATAAAATGGCAAGCCCATAGTAGGTAATCAAGCACTGGGTACTACCAGGGCCTTTGTCAGTAGGGTAAGCTTGTGTTATACCTCAGAGCGAGATTTAGTCATGATTCTAGGAGTAAGCAATTTGCAATGACTTAGCTCTTATATTACCCAGGCTTTCAGCAGAACTCACCCTTAGCCAATTGGATGGGATTTCTTTAAAGGCTCAGTGCATTCCCTAAAATCCATGTGTGTGGTTGTTTTGAAGGAAAACCCGACAACAAAAAGATGTCCTTGTCTAGAGGTGGTATTGTTTTTTTTTTTTTTTTTTTTTTTTTTTTTCTGGGGGTGTCCGAAAGTTAGCCCAGTTGTTCCTTTTCGTTTCCATGAAGGGTTCGTTTTTTTCACCAGGGCCGCTGGGAAACTGGGATGAGCTTGGCGTTTGAAGACTGCCTTCCTGCAGAAATGTATGGACAGGCCTCTAATAGTTTAGGCTTCTTCTTGGAGTCATGCCAAGCTTGTTCCAACAACCTGCATTTTTTGTGGTTCACATTACCGGGGCCGATTTTGATTGGGTTTCTTTTTGGACAGAGTGATGTTGAACGTGGATATACCAGGAACCTTGCTGTAGAGGGACAAGCAAGTTGTTGTCTACATACCCTTCAACATGGCCAGGGTTTCTTGGGTTGCAAATTCCTAGAGAAAGGCCGGAGTCGACCGTCCTGGCTGACCTTCTGCCCGTTCATTTTGGTTTGCATGGTTTCCCTGGTTACCAGCCGTAATAGTGGAAGCAACGGGAGAGACAAATAAGCAAGGGCTGATTGGACACAAAAGGGTACAGGAACTCGTTGAGGGATTTAGGGATGTCGGACAACTGACCAACTAAGAACGGGATTCTTCCCCCCATGCCACTTCTCTTTCAACCAGTCACTGCGTGTTTACCTTTCCAATTGTTAATCCTGGAAATGGGTGTTCATGAATCTCGCACTGAAGTTCAATTTTGCGGGTGATCTAGTTTGCTTGTTTTGCGGCCAGGGTTGAAGACAGTTTGTTTTGAAGCCAGGCCAAAGAGGTGCTCCCAGTTGCCTCCAATAACTAGCCAGAATTCCTTACCCGGAGCTTTTTGCATGAGGGATTTTCTGTGATTGCCAAGTAGAGGCAGCTGGAATCACTGGGTTAGGTGCCCCTGGTGAGAATTGCATGAAATCAGCTGACCGGCCCGCGGCGATACCTTCCGGTTCTTCGGAATCCTCCCAGACCTACAGTGCCCATGTCTCCTTGTGGGTTTGCCCCCTGGCAAATGCGGCGAGTCCTATTCGACCGTTTCTTGCGGTGAGTGTCTTACGTGTACGGCTTGTTTGGCTGTTTGCTGCATGCTCATATCACAGGCTGGTTGGACTCGCATGTCAGGTGCCGGCAATGATTATCTCTGTGGCAACGTAGATGGCAACAGGCGCCTTTGGAGTTGCTAGTTGTCTGCTTGGGTGCTGATGCTGTTGGTGGTAAGTGGGTTTCAAGCAACGGATGGTTTCTTTTGCGCACCGAAGCCCCTAATTTTGGAGCTCTCATATGTTGAGACTTTGGGACTTTTGCCCGAATGCCACACTGGCATGCAGAAGTGTTCCACTTGTCACGCCTGTTCCAAGCAAGTTGATTGAAATCGCGCGAAGAGACCAGTGACACGGCAGGGAGCAGAAGACTTTGAACGGCGGGTTGTACGAGGGCTACTGCAACCTGGGACTTTGGGTGCCCGCCGGGGCCCCAAAAAAGCATTTGCCCGACTGGCCGTTGTGCAGGCTGTCAAGCCGTTCCGCCATTGGACAAGTTTCTAGCCAGCTTTCTAAGGATGACTTGAATGGACAACTAACAACACGGAGTAGCTGGCTTAGCAACCCCAGACACCAGTAACATGCTAAGTAGATGGCTGGCGAACTAGCCACTTAGCTACTTGGCAACGTGGCCCCGGCGCCAGCGAGCCAACTAGCCAGCTAAAATTGCCAACGGCGTGTTGTTGTTTTGCTAATCTTCTTGTTGAAATAGTGCGGTAATATGTGAAACACCCGTTTGTTTGCGTCAATCTATGTCTTGATTGGGGTGTGTCCAAAGCCAAAAAATGGGGTGGCCTAAAACTGGTCGGTTAGTTCCTTTTGGCTTCCTTCGAAACACCCTCCAACAAAGACAGGGGTCTCCCCACGTGGTGCATCCTTCAAGCGCTCGGGTTCAATTGCAACCGCTTGGGTCACTTAAAGGAGGTGACAGCTCCCTGGTATCACAGAAGTTGTAGAAACCCCAAGTGGTTTGCAGAAGCCCCTTCCTACCGCCCAAGTGGTTGATGTATCACAGTTGCAGACACCCCCAGTGGTTCAGGGGGTGACGGCTCCCTGGCAGCACAGAAACCCCTTCCAGCACCCCAGTGTTTCAGTGGCTTAAAAGTCCAACCATGGTGTCCTTTTTGGGTTAGTTTGGCTAAAAACCGATGGCCCTGGTTTCAGCTGGGTCTCATTCCATTTACCAGGGAAACCCACCGATGTGTCCAAAACTAGGGTCCCCCAGTAGTGCCCTTCTCTCCCCTTTTTTGGTTGGGAGGGTTCCCCTACTAAAATCGACGTCCTGAAAAAAGTGGATACCCTTATTATTCCCTCTCAAATCTGGGAAAACCTAGAAGCCTTTCTGGGGTGTTTCAAATGCAAAAGATCTTGGGGTGCTGAAATCTGGCGTTTCTCAGTTGGTCTTTCCCTGAGCCACACCTCGTCCGAGCGTCTCCGCTCTCCAAGGCCTTCGTGGTGTCCTTGGCGCTGCTGCCGCCTGCGGTGATGGGCCTCTTGTTGCTGCGCCAGGAGCCGGGCGGCCCGGTCGCACCGGTGGCACCGCTCGCAGCGGTCGCACCCAATGGGATCCCATTTTGGGGCAGGTGCACCACCCATTTCAGGACCTATTTTAGTGGTTGGATTTTCACTATAGCACCCTTTTGGGATTCCATTTTGGTTGGGACTGGTGAATTCACCACCCATTGTACGACCTACTTCAGTGGTTGGTTTGAATCGGAGGTTCACTGGGGGCTAACCGATCTGGGTTTTCGATTCCCATAGCCATGTGGGGGTGGATCAAACGGTCCGAGAAACCATGGGAGGACCAGGGAAACCGCCAAAAAGATGATGGCTCCCACCAAAGGGAAAAAACGTGACCCATGGTCATTTTGCGGGCAGGAAGATTGATCCACTCCCATGTCCTAGAGTCTAGGATCTCTTGCTGGAACATGGTACATTTTGATGCTCAGCAAATATGGACCACATCAAGAGATCTTCCTTGTTTGGGGGCAAAAGCTGAGATAGATGCTGCCAATCATATTTGCCAGCTTATTTGGAGGGATCCCCGTGTGAATCGAGTCAGTGTGTTGGGGAAACCTGCCTGAGCTGTGTTTGAAGGACGGGGTGTTCTTCATCCCGGACGGAAGTGGGTGTATCGGGTTGTTGCAAAGGGAAAACAATGGGAAACCCACATGTTGAAGGTCCAGTCGGTCTATCCAAATTCAATAAAACCGGTGGTCTAAGAAGACTCCTTCGGATCAACCAGGATGTCTCTATAGGATTCTGTGAGAGAAATGCCAAATTTGCCAGCTCAAAATGGGCAGGCTTTCAAGTAACTTCGGTGTTTCAGACGGAACATGATGGGACACGTGTTTGCCAAATGGGTCCGAGGGGGTGGTTTTGGGATTAGTGGGAATGATAGTATTCGGCCAACAAGTTGAAGCGCCATGAAGCGCCTCTTTTTCCACAGTGTGCGTGTTTTTAGGTTAGCCCTTTTGCTTTTGGTCTTGTTGGTTTAAAGGTAATCCACGGTTTCAGTCAGCTTGGTGGTCCTGTATTTTGACACGCACCTATATCCATTTGGTATACCCTCTTCCTCATCCTTCTGCTGCTCCTCTTCCTTGTAGCACAGCAACCATATCCATGCCAAGATGCTCCACCCATGTCACCGTCAGGAGGTCGCCGCCTTGTAAGAAGCCGCCGCATTTGCGCACCATGTCTGATCATGGAGCAGTCGGAGGATGTATGACGCCTATCACGAGGTTGCGTCTCAGAGGAATCTCGGCAACTCGGACAAGTCCTTTGTTGAGTCTCTGGATCGTGCCAGAGAGAAACCAAGAGCAAGCTGCGCGCCTTAAGTTAAAGCCAGATGGGAACACGGCCAGAGGCGATGGGGGAAGCAGGGGATTTCGGTTCTTGGAGATCTCGAGCTGAGTAAGCCGTTTTCCTTGGGCAAGACTAGACAAATGGCTGATTGGGTGATTGGGGCATCCCCAACTCCCTTGGTACGGGGGATGTTCTTTTTCCAGGTATCGAATGCGGCTGCGCTTCCAGTGGAACCTATACGCGGATGTGTAAAAGTCCACGACGTGCCCTCCCCAGTCCGCAGCTTCCCCAGAGGCTTGCGAAAGGCCTGAGGGCCATCTGCCCGTTGGGATCCATTTGGGGGCGATGCTTGGGGCACATAGTTGTAAAGAGCGCCCTGTAAGCCAAGGTCCATCTGAGTTATAGACTGAAGAGCCATGTGCCTTGATCCATTTTGGGAAGTACTCCTTTCACCTTGTTGGAAAGGGAACCAACGGTAAATCCACCTTGTTCAGGAAGCCCCCTTATTTTTCACACACACCCCATTTAGGTGTGCCTTTTGCTGAGCTTATCCAGTTTAGGTTGGCCACAAAGAGAGAAACCCACAGGAAACCGTCATTTGGGGACAACCCCAGTTCTGGGCCAACGTTTGTATATCCGTCCGCAACATCCCTTCGCCCTCACATCTACCCAAAATTGGGCCAACTCCAAAATAGATACCCGAGACATGGTTGTTGTTGGAAAACACTATACATTTTTGCTTATTGTGGTTGAGTGGGAAATCTCCACTTGACTGCTAAAACATATTTTTTGGCTCCCCTTCCAACGTCAAGGAGAATCTCCCGGCAGTACCCAAATCTCGCTCGCGTCACGAGCGAGCCGAGGTTTCACGCCTGGTGGTCCATCGCCATCGGCGTGTGGTGTGCCCTGGTCACCGGCAGCACCACCCTCCGTGCCGGACCCTGAGCTCCGGCCGGAAGCCAGGGGAAGGAAGTGACTCTTCCATTTGGGGCTATGAAGATATATATATATATATGTATACTATATATATATACATATTATATGTTATATATATATATATATATATATGTATTTTTCCCCCCTGCTGGTTTAAAGGGGATGTGTTTATTTTTATTTTATTTTTTTCCAGGGGACTTAAGCAAATGGAGGGACTCGAGCTGTGAGCTGTGCGAATGAATTCTCTGACTCGCAACCACCAGCTCCTGCAAGGCCCCGGGCCAAAAAGACTAGGGTCCCCCAGTAGTGCCCTGTCTCACCCTTTTTTTGGTTGGGTTCCCCTACTAAGATAGACGTCCTGAAAAAAGTTGGTACCCTTATTCTGACCTCTCCACTGGAGGACCTGGAAGACTGAGTCAAGCAACGAAGGTGTCCAATCAGATTCGTCAACCAAAGCAGAGTGCCACGTCATTTTCTTCCAGCCACGGGTCTGGGGACTGCCGCCAAATGCGTTTATGGCGGGTTTCAACGGCAACCTCCTGGCAGTTGCGCTGCCCTGTTTGGGGGTTCAGCATCACCCTTATTGGGTTGAATTTGGTTTTTGGGCATTGCCCGTTTTTGGGTTGCCTGTTTGTTGATTGACGATGTGGCTTTCAAGAAACGTGTGGGTTGTGTTGCGCTTTTTTGGTTTGCGTATGCATTTCGTGGTGGGTTAAACAGCACCTTGCATGGCGTTACATTGCCCTTCCTGGTGTAAGTTTGTCTTTAAAGGTGGGTTTATATAGTGCCGAAAATGGTGGCAATACACAGTACCTTTTGACAAATCCGATTGGGAGTCAGTGAGTTTACTTTCTGCAGGAGTGATGATCTTAGGTTGGCAATCTAGGTCACCCTGTTTGGTTTTGGGGCTTTGTTTGGTGTTGCTCAACTTGAGAGGGCTGTGATACATCAAGGTATCTGCTGAACGTGCCAAGCGGGGTTTACGGGCTCCCTAAAGCAGAGCAAGTAAACACATTTAAGGGTCGAGGAAGGGGCACATGTTCAAAAGACGGATGGATGTTCACGTGCCGACAACACAGTCGGCAGCTTGAAGAACAATCACGTGCTACTTGTTGGTTTTGTTCAGGCTAGGGGTCCGCAGGCTCCATGAACACAGTCTCAAAGAAGATGGGGCCAGCTTTTGGCCGTTGGAGAAAACCTATGGCCCAGCTTGACACTTTCGAGGTTGTCCAAGTAAGAAAGTTCCTCGTCTCCGCTTGGGGGTCGACTTTGATCAAATCACAACGCCTGGTTGAAGGAAAGCAATTGGTGCAGTCAGTTTTAGGGTTGACCAGGGGGATTCCGCGTGCGAAGCCTGGTTGCCCGCTTTAAGAATGTCCCCGGGTTTGGACACTCTCATCAAATCCGTTGGTGGACGCGGCGGACGCGGCGTTCACCAGGCCAAAGCCAAAGAAATCACAAACTAGCAGCAAGCAAAGTGCAGTACAATCGCCACAAAGCCCAAGCCGACGTTGCTGATGCCGAGCATCCCATCCCAAGCTGGCAGCTGTTGGTTTGGCCTTTTCCCACGGCAACCCGAAGACGAGTTTCAACCAAGGACAGTTGGTCACACGTCGTATTCAATAAGAAGGACATGTTGACCATCGCGCCAAAGTGGCATCAGCAGATACATGGTGAGTCAAAGCAAGGCAAGCAAGATGTGCAGGTTGATGGCAGCAACCTGCTTGTGCATGAAGGGTTTAAACCTGAATGTGTCCAGTTTCGCATGTTAGATCCTAAGTGCTGCACGCAGTACCGCATATATTTGTCCCAACTTTCCTTAATTCTACAAAATAGTTGTGTCCAAAACCGCATCAGTTGCCAACTTTTAGCATAGCTCGCCAAATTGTGTTTTTTGGGGGACAAGAGGATTCCTATCAAGCGAACTCTGACCGTGCCCACCAAACAGCACCAACTCGTTTTGCAAAGGAGGTCTACTCCCTGGCATGAGGATAGCAAGGCGAATGCATGCGAATACAATCATTTTCGGCCAAGATTTGTCGTGCACAATCCCTGGTCCACAGTTAGACAGTTCTGCAAAGTGGCAAAGGTCAGGAGACTGGGCTGTTCAAAGGTAATCCTTAATCCTTACCTGGGGTTACGCAAGGGGGTCCCCTTTGTAGTGGCTTTCCTACAGGGATTATGGAATAGGATTGGCCAACCCTCCATTTTGAACAGCCCAGGTGGCTCCCAGCCATCCCCTTAGCTTCTTAGCCTTGTAGTGTCTAGTGGGGATTTCCATTTAACCCAAAGTTAGTCACTTTTAGCGGGGGATCTGAGGGCCCAGTTTTGGATCGCTCCCACCTCTGAGAACCTGGTCTTCTCCAGCGTGGCACGGCCCCGGGCCTCGGATTCGTCTTGGGCCGTTTTTCCCGAAGCGGACAGTTTGCCTCTAGGAAGGGGCCCCGGATGAAGCGGAACCCCTGCCTGGATCGCCAGTTGCTGCTCTTTTTTTTTTCCAGGCACTTTGCCCCAAAAACCCAGCAAATAGTGACCGAAAAACGCGGCAACTTGGCTATCTAGGTGGTTGATTCATAGGGGGGTGTTCCCCTTTTAGCGAGGATTCATGACTTTGGAGGGAGCACCCCCCTAATAGTGGGAGGGGTTTATCAGTCCTCGGTCAACATTATTCATCCACCAGGGGTTTAAGAATCCCGGGCTCTCATTGGAGCATAAGGAGTCCTCGTTGTAGTGGCTTGCCAGGGATTTAGCCTTAGGCCGGATTTGCCAATCCTCAGTTCCGCACTTTGTCAGGCCATAGTCGTGTTTTCTTGGCCCAGGGCTGTTTCACGTTACGGGTTTGGGCACGTTTTCAAAGTGTGGAATCCCTCCCGGTGACTGCATCTCTTCCATCCACACGGAGCCCGTGCAATGTGGAGGTTTTCCAGTGTAACAGGAACCCGGGATTTAATTCCCGGCACCGTTCGGGGGCTCCTTTCGTTTTGCGTGTCCAGGGCGCCAGAAGGCAACCAAGATGTTCCAAGCGGAAGCCAAGCGGAAACCAACAGGAAGGAGTCATGGCACAGACCCCCCAAAAAAGCTGAAGGGCAAAGGACTTTTATTCATGGGGCCCTCTGATTCATGGTAGGGTGCTCTAATTGGCAGGGTTTCTTTGGTTAGTAGGGTTCTCGGCCCTTTTCCGATTAAAGTGCGAACCGCCAAACTTTGGTGCATTTTGCTTGGATCTTAGAACTGTAACTTTTTGCCAACGAATGGGTGTTCCGTATTAAACCACTGAAGGTTAAACCTTTGGCCGGAGCAAAGCTTTGAATCCGGTGCTCTACTTGGCAGGGTTTCTCTTGTTAGTGGGGTTCTCTGATGTATAGGCCGGCCCTTTTCCGATTGAAGGGGAACCAGCCCTTGACCCAAAGGTTAAACCGTAAGACTGTAACTTTTTGCCAACGAATGGGTTTCCCGTATTAAACCACAGCTTAAACCTTTAGGGGAGCAGATTTCGCAACCAAACAAAGGTTTGAATCCGAAGGCTGCCCCAGTCTAGTAGGGTTCTCTGCTGAATTTCGGCCCTTTTCCGATTGAAGAGGAACCACCCCTTGACCCAAAGCTTTGAATCCGAAGGCTGCAGTCAAACGCTGAGGCGACGGATCCGGCTGTGTATGGAGAGCCAGTACAGCGATGTGCTGCGTGCCAGGCGCCCAGTCTCCGTTGGACTCACGCGGGGGGGGGGGGGCAGATGGGAGTCTCCGACGACACATCTTCCATGTGCTGAAATGAATATGTTTCCTGTTGTCTCCTGTTTTTGTTTCTTTTTTTTTACAGGGAATCTATGATTACTGGAAATACGTACATATATATATATATTATGTTTTTTTTTCCAGGGGGCTGAAGCAAATGGAAGACATTGGGGGGCCTGAAGGGTTTTGCTTGGGGTTTGGTCGCATCTGTTGGCAGATCACGCGGTATGCGGGTTCCTGTCGGTGGGAATGTGACGCAAACTTCGTTGCAGGGCCTGCTTCGGGCACGGCCACTAACGGCAACCAAAATGGAGCCGTAGCTGTCATGGAGTGGATTTTCATTGTTTGTCAGCGAACGGCCTTAGTGGGTTCCCCACAGGTGACTAACCGGACGAGGCCGATGCTTTCTACTCCACACAAAAGAGAGACTTGAGAGTCCTCCACACAAAGAGCACCTCCCAAATCGAAGCCGGTCGAACCTTGAGTTGTCCGCCGAAGCCGCCAAGATACTGAGGCCGCGACAGGGTATCGCCGCCGGCTCCGGCCTCAGCTCGAGCATCGAGCGATCCGTTGCCGATGTCTGAAGCTGTTGCCCAAAACTGACGGATTCACGTGAGGGGAGCACTAAGCTAAAGGAAACTGAAATTGAACCTCTTGTAGCTCACCCGTAGAGTTGGCAATCCTCAATCCTTGCGTAGGCACGTTCGCAAGGTATGCAAAGCCTCTTTCAGGGAAGCCCTACCCTCCCCTCCCATGGGAGCTGACACAAAGCTTCGGGAAGATTGCTTTCCTTTTGGGGACCCTCCCTGTCCATTCTATCGTCGGAGTATGTCGTCCTTCAGGGTCAACGCTTCGAGTTCCTGAAGCCGAAACAAGAACCTCAGACAAACGACTCGCCGTGTCGTTGAACCTGCAGTTCTAACTCAAAGCCCGCCTTGGATTTGCCACTTTGGCCACTTGCAGGTCAGACCCAGGTTGGCTAGAGGTGACCGAACAGGCTGGCAGGGACCAAACAAGGAGATTCCAGTTCTCACATGCTCCACCCAGATCTCCGGTGGGTTGCTTCTTGTTTTTGGCTTGCTTTGGAGAGCGTGTCAATCTTAAGATCAGGCAACCAGACCAAAAAATCAGTTTTTGTTGTCCACATGGCCACGGAACCTGCCAGCGAACAGTACATTGAAGCATGCTGTGTCTTTCAGACAGATGTTGTCACAAGGAATGGGTTCTTTTTCTCAGACCTACAGCCAAACAGAATCCCAAGAGAAGACACTTTTGCGGGCACGCGTGTTTCTGGAAGAAGCCACCATTGGGTGAATGTGTCTTTCCACACCGAACAGGTGTTCGGTTTTCCTCCCGCCTTTCGGATCGCCAGGAATACCAAGCGCTTTGGGGGCGGCCGCAAGTTGATGATCTCCGACCCCTTCGACGCTCGGTTGCGCGAGAAGCTTCGCGGTCCCTTCCACAAGCAAGCAAATAAGCTTCAAGGGATCATTGACCCCAGTAGTGCCCTTCTCTCCCCTTTTTTGGGGGAGGGTTCCCCTACTGAAGTAGACTACAGAGAAAAGTTGGTACCCTTATTCTAACCACCCAAACTGGAGGACATGGAAAGCTTCAAGGGATCATTGATAGCAAAACCGATATCAACTCTTTCGACCATCTTGGTACAACCAAAAGTTGCTACTTTAAATTGCCCGGTGCCCTTCGGGAGAAGCAAATGGCGACTGCCAACTACAACATCTGAGCCAGACGATGGCAAGCTGAGACTGTTCCCAGAGCCCAGAAAGAGAAAGCTGTCTGCAGTTTGGATCCACAGCCAAGGAAAGAGCCCCATTTTTCCAATGGAGATGACTCTTCCGAGTCCCAGTGATTGGGAGAATGAGTCGTGTCAAGTTAGCTCCCTACCCAAACTGGCCAACAAACCGGCGCTGTTTGCTCCCAGCGTGAAGATTCACAGGGCAACGCATTGGACATTCCCATTCAGCTCACAACTGCTGACCCAGATGTCCACAATGTGAGTTCGCGGCAAATTGGCCGCAGCTTGGAAGGTTTTCTAGACCATCAGCACATATTTTGGGGTGATGCTTTGCTGAGAGTGCCCTTGTCACCTTGTTTCGATGGACACCGACAGGGAAACCGAAACCCGTGTTCCGGCCGTTCCCGTAGTTTGACAATGCCTGTGCAAGTTGCCGTGTCCATCGAAGGAAGGCAGCAGATGGCTGTGCATCAAAAGGGACCCTTCTTGGGAGAGTTTCCCAGTTCCAGTTCCCGCTTACTTTTTCAGCGGAAGCCATCTTGCACAACCTACAGGCAAAGAACCCTGAATAAGCTATAGGATTTCTAGAAGAATGGGTTTGGACAGATAAAGTCAACGTAAACGCCTGTTTTTGGCACATGCCCAGTTGAGGTTTGTTCGACAAGGCTTCGCTGGGATGCTTCCAACGCAGACCTATCGCCAGGCAGTTGTTCAGTGAGTATCTTCCAGGTTGGAGCGGTTTCAAGCAGCTCCCCTTAGCTCAAAGCTATGTTTGCTTGTTGTTTTTTGGCCCAGGGCAAGATCAGAAGACTGACCCATCCACATGCGGGAGCTTTCTGAGAAGCGGCACCCCAAGAACAGATTCGGCAATCAGCCAAGATCTCTGGACTTCCATTTTGGGGACACCTACTTTTGAGAAGAACATGTATATACGCATACGAGCAACAGGAAACATGATTCAGGTATCAATTGAGTGATTTCGATATGATGTTGGTTACAGTCTGCTTAGTTCAAGTTTTGGTTGTCAGTCAGGAAATCACAGGCTGTGGGTCGCTCAGCACTCGGAGCACGCCGATGTGGGGCTCATGAGCCAGCCGGCTGTCGGCGATGGTGTCGCAGCGAGGGCGAGGGAGACGCCTTGGTTTGGACGCCCGCCAACGAACCCCTCCTCAACCACCAAAAAAGCAAACCGCCAATCCATTTTGCCAATCCAAACCGCCAATTGGAGGGAATCCAATCCAAACCCCCAATCCAGACCCGTCAATTGGAGATGGAATCGTTCTTATGGAGATGTCTTGACTCTTCCAAACATGTCACGTGATCGCCCGACTAAGGACAGCGATTCCTCGTCCAGCGAGGACTGCTTCAAGTGGGCGGGGTTGGCGAGGGAGGGTTGAAGCTTGCACGGTGAATTGTTCGAAACTCAGATGACACGTTGGACCTTTAGGACATTTCCACGCAAAAACATGGTGCCCTTGTTTGGTAGTTTTTCAAGGGAAGCCCGCTCCAAACAAAGCGATGAACAAATTCAACCCACTTCAGGGATACTGGGAACCCTGTCGTTTTTAGTTCGCCCTTTGGTTGGTTTTATTGGGGGTGTCCCATTGAAGAAACGATCCGGACCACTTTGGGCAGCAACTTTCCCCTAATAATCCATCAGTTTGATATATATATATATATATCCATATATATATATAATATCGTTCACAGCCTGATTCGGAGGATCCCTTCTCAGCTTCGGTGATGTGCGGACGCGGCTACCGGCGCAGGACGAGACCTTTCCCTACGAGCAGGGCTGCCCAGGGAGGGGAGAACTGGGAGCTGGGAGGACACCTGGGGCGGAGCCGGGGGTCTGAAGGCCGTCATGTGTTTGTGGCGCTTCTGTACAGGCTTGTGTGGGATCACAAGGGGTTTTTCCAACCACTTCTGTGATACTTTTGGGAATCTCCCCCTTATGGGGGGTTCGTTTGTGGGGCTAGGCCCTTTTTGTTGTATCACAGAAGTGGTCATTTCCCACAGCCCTTCTGTACATGTCCACAAGGGCAATGTTAAGCGTCCCTTGGTGGCTTCTCATGAGGTAATGCTGACCCCATATTAATCAACCCCAGTTTTTTGTTTGCGAGGTGGTTCCTTCAAAAGTGAGGATTCCCACGAAACCCAGGAACACCCCCTATCGATACACTGGGGCTGATTAATATGGGGTCGACGATACTGTGCGAACGCAACGAGGATTCTCGATCCTTGCTAGATGTGAGACTCCTCAAAATGATTCGGACGTGGCGCTCAGCAACGGACACACCCGGCACCAGCAGGCACTTCAGCGACAGACTTGTGCAGTTGTTTCGATCTCTCACGAAGGACCACAAGACTCTCGAATTGCAGGGCCACTTGTCCGCCGCGCTGCCCTTTCACCGGTTCTGGTTAGAGACAAGGCGTAAACTTTGTCGTTGCCTTTTTCAAGCAAGAGCGGCTCTCTACAAGAGTTTGCTTCCGAGTTGCTCCAGCATTGAACAGCTTCCAGGGAGTTCAACTTGTTGTTTCCTTCAGCCCCTTGCCCCTACACTTCACCAGCAGCATGTTGGCCGATTAGATGCATGCCACTCAGTTAGGTACAGGCTAGATGGCAAAGAGCAGAGCCAGGCCCATCTTTGACCAAAGCGAAAACTACCGTCAGGAAATAATGCAACCCACACGAACCATCCTTTTTGGATGATAGAGCCTTTTGGGAAGCTCTTGGGATTCCGCAAGTATTTGCGAGTGCCTTCCTTGCTTTTCAGGGAGTTAAATTGAAACCTTGGTGGCTCCCAGCCATCCCCTTTATAGCCTTTAGTGTTTAGTGGTAGTTTCCATTCAGCCCGCTGAAAGTTAAACTTTTGGCGGAGGAGAGGGCAGCCGTTTGGCGTCGGGTCGCTGCGAGGGCGGTGCAGCACTTCGTGGTGGTTGAGACGGGCCTCAGCCAGACGCCGCCTCAGAGACGGTGACCGCTTTCTGGGACAATGGGAGAAGCACCCACACAAATCTTGGTGGCTCCCAGCCATCCGCTTGCTTTTTGCTAGGTCCCCTAGTACTGCCCTTTTTAACCCCTTTTTTCGGGAGGGTTACCCTGCTAAACTAGACTGCGGAAAAAAAAGGGTACCCTTATTCTAACCTCTCTACTGGAGGACCTGGTTTGGCATTTCGTGGGGGTTTCCATTTAGCCATCTTAGCCCACAAAAACTAAACTTTTCGCAGGGGATCATAAGAATCACCACTCTTTTTGTCCTGAACATTGCCACCAGGTCTTACAACGAGTTCGACTCCGAAGAAATCAGCAGGAACCTCGGTTTGCAGAGCTTTGGCCTGACAGCTGAGAAGCACTGAGTGCACTGCTTGACCTGGACTGACTGGTGAGCCGGCAACAATCGGCACCTGACTAGGTGTTCCTGAAAGATAATTTTCCTCAAGAAGGGGCCTTCTGGTGGATTCCATGTTAATTGGCCGGAGGGTTATCGCGCGAAAACCTGAAATCATAGGGTTCTGAGTTGCCTGTTAAGCAATCCGCTCTTGCTATCTGCTTGGCCTAAGTTTGGAGGGGGGGGCGGCGAAACCACATAGCAGCGAGCGGTTCAGTCAGGCGTTGCTCCAACACAAATAGGTTGTTTTTTTGTAGGTACCTTGTTCACCTTGGTTGAAATGGAAACCACAAGGAAGTCACCATGTCCGAGTCCGGAACGCTTCTTTTGCTGTATAAGTACCCAAACGAAAAGGGACCCCGACTTGGCTAGTTTGTCACGTTTGATGACAGGCTATCCTTCACTTTGGGAACGGGGGAACGGAGAAGGGGGGGCATCCCCCATATTTATCCGTATTAGTATTTGCAGCCATGGGGCAATCATTCAGCTTGTCCCCGAAAAATCAAATTCTGGCCTTCCCATCAGAAAGTGGAGTAGGTGGTTCCCTCCAGATATGCGTATCAGCAACGGGCAACATTGCAGTCTACTGTTGATTTTGGGAGGACTTTCCGAGAAGCCCTAATAATTGTTCACAAAACTGAGGGCGGGCCTTCCAACTGTGCCATGTCTGTTGGGAGGAAAGAAGCCATTTTGTCCGAGGGCTCATATTACTACGCAATGCTCCGAATCATGTTGTCAGCTAGCATCCGCGTCACTGCAATTGGCCACACATTGTTTCCTTGTCTCGCCTGATGGCAGAAGGCGCGGCATGTAATACAAGCTCATTTGCGAAAGTTGTTTTACACTAGGGATTCTCTTATTTCCAACTTGGGAATATCAGTCATTTGCCAATGCAGGGGGTTGGGCCACCATCCTCTCAACAAAAGCCTTGTCCACTTCAATGTTTGTGTGTGTGTGTGGGGTGTTGACTTTTTTGAATCGGAAACGCACCAAACATAAAGGGAAGAGGGTGGAATTCCACTGAACAACTGGGTTCAGCGTCGCGTTCACACAGGCACATTTGCGCGTTTCTCCGTGTCGCAGGTGAGCGGAGCAGGATCTCAAGCTGGGGCAATAGGTTCACCAACCCGAAAAAGGGAGGTCACTGGGCTCGATGTCGACTCATATTGTGAGTCCAATATTGGGGACATTCTCAGTTCTGGTTAAATTACTTTTGGTGAACTGTTTGGGCAGATGATGTTTGCGGAAAACCGCCAGCGTCTGGTCTAATAGGTCTCAAGTCATGGAATCATGTGCTTGATGGAGGCAAACCAATCGGACGCCCAGCCTTTGGGTCAATCTTGAGAAACACACCAGTGGGACTTCAAGACGAAAAAAAGAAGAAAATTAGGACGATTCGGTGTGTGGCTCAAAATCAATCAGCCAGGGTTACGGAGGTTTTAGCCTTTGTTTCCTTTTACCAAGGGACCATGCTGGGAACCATTTTGGGAGCCACCAGGCACCCAAAACGCCCAAAAACACTCCCCAACCACACACGGTTGGTGCCCAACACACCGACCACACAAAGAGCCATTGCGCGCCCCCGGAAAACCGAGCGAGTCAGAACCGAGGCGAGCTCTTACACTCCATCAGCAGCGCCAGCCTGGCCTCCACACAGGCTCTGACCCTTAAGGGGCTCCTGCAAGCGGGAAGGTGCTCGGGGTCTCGGGGAATGGACCGTTTTGGGATTCCCGAATAACTGAAAAGCAGTTGGATGGTTTTTCTTGGGGGTCATTTTCCGATCAGTTGGATGGTTTATATGGGTCATTTGCTCATTCCCTGCCCAACGCGCCAGCAAGGAAGTGTCGAAGGAGAACTTCTTTGGGTCATTTCTTAGTTCATTATCAGGGTTGCTTTTCTGGTCAATTGAAGTAAATGAAGTGTTTTCCGCCAAAGAGGTGATTTGCTTCATTTCGGGCGGTGGTGGGCCTAGGCCCCGCTGTTGGTTCGAAGTTTGTGTGTTTTTCTTGTGTGGTGCATCTGGCTTTGGTAGGTGTGGGCAAGAAGTCAATGAAAGGATTGATCGGCAACTGGACAGATTCCACTTGCCAGCTCTAGGAAAAGTCGCGCGGAGGAGCGTTAGTTCCTTTCCAGCAAAAGAAACACATCATTTGTTTTTTAAGTAAATGTACTGCTGTCAATAAACAGCTTGTTTGAGGCCGACATGCCAAAAGTAACAACGGCCCCTTTACTTGTCATTAACCCACCACTAAACCAAGACTAAGCTTCTGGCAGCCCCTTTTCGGGGATACTTTCAAGCACGACCCACTTCAAATGCAATTGTCAAAATTGCATTTGTACTGCACTCCAGTAGCCAGCGGCACATTTCCCTAGAGAACAAGAGGATTCCTAGGATGCGATGAATAGATATGTGTTTCCAAAGGGTAATATTTATTAGTAGCGCGGGATGGGCGGGATTGAAGCCATAGGGTAAAGGGATCGGTCTGCTCAGTGACCCACCTTGGGTAGCTTTTCGTGCTCACTTTCGGCAACTGCCGCAGCAGCAGTTGCCAGCAAGCCTCTCAAGCTTCATCCTGATGTGATTCCTTTCGGAGACTTCTGCCTTTCAAACTGCCCTAGTTTACTCTTGAAACTGGTTTGTCTTGATACTGTCCCAGGCATATGGAGTGGTTCTGTGCCCAGGCATTTCTTGCGCATGGGTTGACTTGGATTTCATGTTATCTTGTGGGCTGTTTGGCAAATCGCACATCTGCGGCCCCTGAAAGGAGTCGACTCTTTGTAAGAAGCGGATTCCACCCTCAAAAACTACTCAGTGTTTGGTGGCTTCCCCCTTAAGTGGAATCAACTCTCAAAAGAGCCCTGTTTCTACCAGCTGCCACTGAACTGGAGAAACATCACCTGAGGCTCACAGTCCCTCCGCACTCGCTTGAGCGGCGTGGCAGGTGAGTGTCTTTTTCGCCATGAAAGACCCGAAGCAGGCGAGCCATTGTTCTACGGGTTGATTCATTGATTCCCAATCCTTTTCAACCATACCGTCGATCGATTCCTGAACCAGTTGAACTCCAGTCAATATCTGTGAATACATGAATACTGGGATAGTCCACCTATCCACTGGTACTGTTGTTTTCCATCCGCAGTAGTTCTTTTCAAGAACGGCCCTTTCTTACGGGTTGTGGTGGTTTCCTGGAAAGAGGAATCCGTGGACGGAATGGGGACCGAACAGGGGATGACGCCGTTTAAGGAGGGTTTTCGTTTCAACTCTGTGTGGTAATTTTAGCTGATCACTACTCGGATCCGTCTTTCTAGGTTCTGTCACGTCCAATTTCGGCGTCGGTCTTGTTCCGACAACGTGATTTGTTGCTTACGTGTGTTTGTTCAGCTTACGTCGTGAGATGACTTCTTTTGGTGCACTCCCCCAGCTCAAATGCGATCAACCCCCACGTCTTTTTCAGTGCATCGAATCAATGAGTGGTTGCACGGTTCGCAATATTTCGAGGGCTGGAAACTACTTGTTGGTCCTGAAAAGAAAGAGAAACACAATTCTAATGTGCAGGCCATGACGCCTTGAGCCCGCAACTCGAGGGAGTTGAAGTGCCGGCTGGTCAACGAGACCATTGCCCTGGGTGGCCGGCATTTTGTGTTCCTAACCTAGGTCCCCCAGTAGCGCCCTTTTACCCTTTTTTGGAGGAGTATTCCCCCACCAAAAAAGACTGCAGAAAAGGTTGGTAGCCTTATTCTAACCTCTCTACTGGGGGACCTAGTAACTCGTGACAGTTGAGTCATTGCTTTATGATCAATTCAACAAGTAGCCGTCGCGAGCGGCCCCACTCGCTCGTGACACATCCCGAAGATAGCATGGCAAATATTTGACAAGAGAATTGGTAAGGCGGAAGCCAACCTTTTCAGAGACCTTTGTGTATAAGGCCTTGGCGCAAGGCCTTTAGGTGAACCAGCGCACGCCGTTTCTTGTTAAGATGACCTGCTCTGACTTGTCCACTTACTGTTTGTCCTTTTTGGGCCGAGACCTGCGCTGGGCTGCTTACTTTTCACAACTTGTTTTTTGGTTGGGCGATTCCCTTCAGAATCAACAAAAAGCACCCCCTTGTTCCATTCTTTTCCCATGACCACTGGAGGTCTGGGTGGGTGGTTGTCCTGCCAGAATCAAAGAAACGTGGGACCTGTTTTTCCGCTAGAAGACAAGTGCTGGAGGCGGGAACTAGCAGGAGACGAAGCCGTTTGGGCCATTGTTCGGCTTTTTGTGGCCAGCTTTGGCGAAGCCAAAGGAAAACCACTGTAAGGAGGTTCCCCTATCTGTGTATAATATATATATATATGTCTGTTTAAAGACAAACCCTGACATGAACAACTGACAAACTTACGGTTGTCAGTATCCCATATTGTTACTTTGGAGGAACATGCGCGGCCGCCCGAATTTCCCACAACAATCAAGGTCTCGCCCATTGGTTTGCTGAATGATTTTAGAGGGACAGCTTTTCAGGGTCGCGTGGAGAAAAAGGTTTGAGCGGACCCTTGACCCGCGTCAGTTATAGTTATTGCTATTCGGAATGCCCGTTAACTGATGAATCGCGCGTTGATTTCCACATTGCTTGGTTTTGTCATGCATGCAGTAGTAATTGCAAATCTGTTCGACAATCAGCATGCGTTCAGAGAAGCCCGCGTTTATCGCTCTAATATGAGTATTATGAATGTGTCACACATCGAGCATAGCATTATACGTTCATTTGAGATGCCGGGCTGCAATGACACACGAAGCCGACAAACCCGCTTTGGTGCTTCCCCAATGCTACAGAAGTAACAAACAAAGGCCTTCCAGTGCTGTAAGAACATTTTTAATCGCATGTTGAACAACAGTACGCCAAATACAAAGAAAGCACAATTCCAAACAACAGGGGGTGTCTTGAAGACATGAAGCAAGCCGCACGCTTACCCGTGTTGACACAGTTCAGCAAGCAAAGGTCCCGCCGTTACCCGCATCACAGCAGCAGCCCTTTCCCGCCAAATTGGGCTTGCGTAGATTTAGCATGCGTTGCGCAGTAATTTAACATGGTTCCTGCAGCGATTCACAATGATGCCAAAGGTCGCACATCAAAGCGCTTGCGTGTTCATCATGTCTATACCAAGAGTTTGGGGTGGGCGAGCCTTAGAAGTTGAACCATGGCGATCCACTTGCAATGCGATCAGATCGGGTCAGGCGCAGCTCTATCAAGACCACGTAGACCAGTGGCGCCGCGCTTTCCGCGACCGCCTGCGACTGGTGACGCCCGGAGGCCCATGGCAGGCGGTGCTTAAGCTTTTGGTATTCAAAGGGAGAGCTTGGAAGCAAACTTAGTGAGGAAATGGTTTGTTCGTAGGATCAGTTGTGTTTTCAGTTTGTGCTTGCTTTTTTTGGCTGTGGAGGGGCGGGGGGGAGGGCTGCTTTTAAGCAGAAGCCCTGGATACCAAAGGGAAACCAATCTGTGTGTGCGTGTGTTTGTGCATGTGCATGTGTTTTGTGTGTGTGTGTGTGCGTGTGTTTGTTTGTTTGTCCGCTCGCTTGCTTGCTTGCTTGCTTGCTTGCTTGCTTGCTTGCTTGCTTGCTTGCTTGCTTGCTTGCTTGCTTGCTTGCTTGCTTGCTTGCTTGCTTGCTTGCTTGCTTGCTTGCTTGCTTGCTTGCTTGCTTGCTTGCTTGCTTGCTTGCTTGCTTGCTTGCTTCTTTTTTCTTGTTTGGGTTTTATTGCTTTCTTTCTGTTGTTGGTTTCTTGTTTTTCTTGGTTTCTTGTTTTTTTATTGGTTTTTTGGTGTCTTGGTTCCTGTTTCTGTGTTTGTTTGTTTGTTTGTTTGTTTGAGTTGTTGTTGTTTTTTTGGTTTAGTTTGAGTTTAGTTTAGTTTAGTTTGCTTTGTCTGTTTTGCTTTGTTTGTTTGTTTGTTTGTTTGTTTGTTTGATTTGTTTGTTTGATTTGTTTGTTTGTTTTTTTTTGTTTCTCTATTTGTTTGTTTGTTTGTTTGTTTGTTTGTTTGTTTGTTTGTTTGTTTTTTGTTTGTTTGTTTGTTTGTTTGTTTGTTTGTTTGCTTGCTTGCTTGCTTGCTTGTTTGCGTGTTTGCTGGTTCGATCGTTCGTTCGTTCGTTCGTTCGTTCGTTTGTTTGTTCCTTTGTTCGGTTTGGTTTGGTTTGCTTGCTCGGGTTCGCTGCACGTGTGCTAGTCAATGTTTTGGAGCTGCAATCAATTTGACATGTGTCGCCATCATAAGATGGGCCGTGGATAGTCCAAGCTGCTATGTTGCGGTTGACAAGCATGTTGAACAGACGGCAGTTGGATGTTGAGTCCGCAGAGCATGGGGGTCGGAGCACTTGACAGGAGCCTACCAGTCGTCCGCTTGCATTGCCCTGACATGCCATTTTGAGGAGCATGGACGCAAATGACAGAGTCACAGTTGGTGTTCAGGACGCGTGAACCAAAACGAACTGGTCAACATGCAATGGAGTGATCTCTGGGACCTGAGGCTGCTAAAGCTCTATGAGTGCAAAGCGGGGCCCGGCGCACAATGAGAGAGCATCGGCATGGGATTGTTGCTGGCTGCGGCTTTGTTTGAGCGTTTTGCTGATGCGCATTTCCGGATGAACAACTTCTGTGGAGCTTTATCCTACTCAATGTGTCAGCGTACAAGAATTGAGGGTTGCTGTCCGGGGTCATGACAAGCTCTCAGGCGTTCTCAAGAAGGCAACCCCCCAAAGAAAGCCCCGGAGACGTTCTCAGTAGTTAAGGCCTTTGGGATTCCTAGCGCTCGATCGCCAAGGGCTGGTTACAAAAACAATGGTCCACTCTGGGTTGGGCAACTGTCTGTTTGGTTCCACTGCTGTCGTGTGAACCAGGGTGTTCCCTTTTTGACTACCTTTTTGGAAGAAGGGCCACCTAGAAGGTGTGGATGTAGCTCTTGTCAGCAAGATCTACATTAAGGCTTAAGGCCATTTACTGCGTATACTCTGGGACGTGTCTCTTAATCGACCCTGTTGAGATCCCCGGGTGCAGCTTTGACTTTCGGAAGGGATCTTGCACGGCTCTTGGGCGCATGGCACCTCTCCTGTCCGAGCGAATTGCTTGGATTAGGATGGCTGGTGTTCGGGTTTGAAGCACCCCGAACCTCCACCAAACCAAATCAACGAAAAAGGGTGGAGGCTGATGCCATGACAATGACATGGACAACAGCAATTACAAGGCCATCAAGTTTAGTTCAGCAAAACCCCGGTTTTTAGCTTGCGTATCAGCGGGTTGGCCATTCCGATCTTTGCGAGTGAGGTCTTTGCAGTTGGGAAGAGTTTGCCATCTACCAGCGGCCCCAAAGGGTCCCCTGAAGGGCAGACGCCCAGAAAGGCTAACATGGCACCTGAAGATGAACATGGCACCCCGTGTTCCCTTCCCCAGAAGTAGTTCCCCCCTTTCCTTTTTGTTGGACCCCCGTTGCTTTCCACTAGCCAGGCAACAAATGATGATTGTTTGCTGGGGTCCCTTTTTCCAGCCAAGTTCCCAGGGATCTTTTCTCCCAGAAAGAACAGCTCACCTTAAGGGGTCAATACAGCCTGAGGGAGGGGGCAATAGAGCCGCCTCCTTGCCAGCCAGCTGAGGCAAAACAAGTCCACGTCGGAGTCTTTGGCCGGAGACTTAGACAAAGAGGATGACGGGTGGTGCATTTTGCCAAGGGATGTTAGGACCGAACCACTTTTTGCCAACTAATGGGTTTTCCGTATTAAACCACTAAAAGTTATTCACTTTTAGCAGGGGAGCGAAAAGCAACCGAGGAATCGTCAAGGTGCCCGCCATTTGTGAAATTGCATTTGCACACGAGGTATGAGGTTGACCCCTCGCAACGGTCGCTGTGCCTACCTCGCATTCTACACACACCCTCGCACACGCACACTTGTTGGGGTTTGCCCAAAAAGATCTCTACTTTACGAAGCAGGTGGCTCGGTTTTCCTTCAGTGCCTAAGGCTCTTTGTTTTGACACGTTCAAGTATGCAGCTCTGTTCATACTTGTACATCGCTAGCCTTTGGCTTGTGTTCCACGCGCTTTCCTGTGACGAGGTGCCGAATGCTTTGAGCATACGGCATGTGTGGCATACTCACTTGGATATGAGTTTGAAAATTGAAACCATTCTTTGTTGGACATCATTTACGTGGAGATGTGTGTTCGCCAACTAATTTGGAGGGCATTCCCAATTGAAAATCATGGCGGCTTGGAAATCGACACTCTTGTTCCAATGTGGATGTTGAGCGTCCAAAGAGCCTCCTCGGCCCGTTTTGAGATGCAGAATCTGTGAGAGGCGGGTTGCATTCTGCTTGAGGTGACTGGTGTTGAAACGTGCGGTGTTGGGCCGCTGTGTGTCGGCCCCGTAGAATTACGAGCGGCCAAGTCCTCCCGGAGATCGCTCACTTTGGTGGCACAAATGCATGCTCTCAAGAAGTCCCAACTCTGAAAGGTGTGTCATTGCCCTTCCGTTCCTTGTTTGGGATGGCTTGAAGGAGAAGGCTCGCCCATTCTAAGAATCGCTTTCCCGTTTTGTTTTGTTTTTGAACCAGCGCAATCCTTCCTTGCACGGAAGTCCCGCTACGACGGTCGTGTCTTTTTTGAGGGTACGCTTTTCGGGCTCGCTTTTGCAAGGAAAGGGGACCCCGACCTCATTTTCCCCATTCCATTCAACCAACTCGAGGTGTCTCACCTCCTGGACAACGCCACCCGCATGAAAGCGCCGGACCACCTGATCCTTGTGACCCGGACCACCATGGACAGTTGGCGCATGCCTCGGGCGATCTCACACACCCGCGTCAAGCGCTCCCGCTTTGCGCGTGAAACCATTTGTAGAGCGCCGAGACTTTTGAAAGGGGTCCCAACAACTCAAAGCGCTCGCTCGCACCACCCCCTGGTCGGAAGAAACCGCGACCCCACTCGTAGTCTTTTGCTCAACTGTTTGAGGTGTTCTTGGTTGGCAAACTGCCAATGCGTTGCGAACACGGGTCCTCAGGGACAAAGGGGAAGCCGGTCTTGAAGGTTTACAGGAAGCAACCCTGGAAGACATGATCCCTGATTTGAGAAACACCCACCCATGACATGTGACTTGAGAATGATGCAAGTTTACAGGCATGGACATTTAGTTATCCCTGTTTGAGTTTGTGTGTGTGTATGTAGGTGCGTGTTGCGAATAGGACATCGACCCCAACAAATCCTTCGGCGAACCATGTTTCCCGTCGTTCAGGGGGGGTACCCCAAACAAAGACAAACACAATTCTTCCATGTGCTCCAGATTCTGGTTTCCTCCCCGTCTTCCCAGTCTTCCCAATTGTGAGTTGGATGGCAAGTGTGATGTCTGGTTGATATGTGGTAGGATTTGGCTCAAGTATGTGACGGGTCAAAGCGCTTAGCAGTTCTGGTCATGCTTTGACATAGTCCTAAGACTGGGAGGAAGTGTAGGGGTGGGGGGGGAGTAATGTGTGTTCACAAAGCAGGAAAATCAACCCTGAGTTCAATGGGAAATGCCGACTAATATCGGACTCACGAAGGCGATCGCCCAACGGCTGCTTACCTTGAGACACCCTGAAAACCCTGTAGGAATTTGGTGACCTAACTTTGCATCAAGGTTTCCTCCAAGATAAGGACAAAAGAGGCCACACATCCCGGTGGATTTGTGGCCCATGTTTATCAAGCCACCCCCCTTTTGGGGTAGCACACCCAGCTTTGACCACATTGTTCATCGCTTTGACCAGATTGTTTTGGCGCCCAAAAGAAGCATTAAAGGAAACTGGGCTACACTGGGGGTACACAGTGGTTGACGGGTTGTGAAAGCTGTGGGCTCTTTTCAGGACCGGGTTGTTTCATGCTGGCCCCGTGAGGCAGTTGCCAAGCGGATTCCTTGGGAACACCACCCAACATGTACCAGTTTGTCCCCTACTAGGTCCCCCAGTAGTGCCCTTTTACCCTTTTTTGGGGGAGGGTTCCCCTACTAAAATAGACTAGAGAAAAAAAGGTACCCTTATTCTAACCACCCAAACTGGAGGACCGAGCCGAAGTGAACTCACAGGCTGGGGGGCAGGTTCCATCCGGACTACTTCCCCGCGGTGACCTTTGCTTTCCAGAACTCTGGCGTAAAGCTGGAAGCCCAGCTTCAGGACGAGCGAGGAGGATTATTTGCAGACGATAAAACTCGGTTGTGTAGATGGTCAAGAGTGTGGTTCCTTTTTTGTTTTGAGGGGTGGGGAGGGGAGCTGTGAATTTGGACCTGCATACATGCCAGTCGCTTGAACCCTTTTCCACACGGTGTCAGGTCGAATTCTAGGACATGTACGCCAACCGTTTGCGAGGGTTCCTTGCTTTCACAGAGCCTGTCGGTTGTCAAGCGAGGAGAGGGTGATTGATTTGTGCCATCTGTTGGAGCGTTTTTGGGAGGCTTCAAAATAAGTCAACAGGGAAGCAGCTTTTTTTGCGGGGTTCGTTTGTTATACTTTGGCATGCGAGAGTTTGGGTTGGCAAGTGATGCAGCACCTGTGGCTGTAGCACGTTCTCCATTGAGCTAATGAGAGACTCGTGTTGCTCATATCCCCACAACGGTCAACCTGCGAACCTGCCTAGTTTCATGCGCGAATTCATCAACTGGCAGATTGATTGGGGAGTGCTCCCCCCGAAAATGATGGATTCTTTCTGAAATGGGACACTTCCCCATGACTCAACCAGGGGGGTATTAATCCTTGGAACCCACCAGTCTTTGGGGGCAACCAGATTCCGACTTGCTTTGCTAGGCGATCGCTGACCATCTACCAGCCTCCAATCTTGTTTTTGAAGGACGGGCGAAGGTGGGAGAGGCCAAAAGCGCTAAGGCGGTGGCGAATCGGGTTCTGGGGATGATCTTGCTGGCATGGTTGGTGTTGGGAAACATGTTGCTTATTTTTGTTTATTGTGGTTTAGTGGTTGAAATCCAACCACTTAACTGCTAAGATTTGGATTTTTGCTCCCCTTCCAACGTCAACCAAGCTGGTGCCATAGGGGAAGGAGAAATGGAACGCCCCCCAAATAAAGAATCCAAAAGATGGTTGCCTTTAAGGGAATCCCCTTCCGGTTCATTCCCAACACCCGGAAGGGTCATTCCCTACTCACCGCTAGCAAGTGCTTTCCCATCCATCGTCATTCCAGGGGTGACATGTTTCCTTGAGAGGACACTCCCCGGAAAACCACAAGCCCAGAGGAAGCGGCTTGAAAATCCCCTACAATCACTCGTCGTCGCTGAATTGGCGGTGGTGGTCAAAACCAATGGGATCCCATTTTGTGGTAGGTGCACCACCCATTTGAGTCTATGTTAGTGGGGATTGGGATGACCAATTGAGTGTTGCTACGAGTTATCAAACTGCTGTTCCTGGAGCCGTCAGGCTACCTTGACCTTAAGATTTGAATCATCACCGCGCCATGTGAGTAAAGTCACAGACCTAGTTTATGAGGCAAGCGCGCCGTGTGCTGACATGTGGCTTCGTGGGCACATGCCAGCTCCATATGTTTGAACCAGCATTGCCATGCATCTTGATTGACGCCAATCACGGGGCGTCTGCGACGCAAAACACTGGGACCTTGGCCAGCAAGCCTAGAACCAGCCGTTAGACACAAACCATGTAAGCTATGAACAGCAGTGATCATCGTGGTACCCAGATGTTTCAATCAGGGATTTGTTTGGGTCGGGGAAGGACGCTGAATTTGCTGCTTGTTCAGTGGATTTTACCCGGTTTCCGTTTCATATGGGGCAGGTTCCCCTGCTGAAAATGGTCAACCCCAAAAGGGTTCTCTGTTTCCGCCAGCATCACCTGGGCCGCTACCTTTCTGGGCCTGGCAGCATTATTTCTGGACAAAGGATTACGAGCTCACCTGGGGGCAAGCTCGCCCATGCTGAAGCTTTCTTATTTGAGGATTCATGAGTTCAGTACCTGTGAATTGCAGTAACTTTACCTCCCGGATTGTATGGCTGTGTTGGCGCTTGCCAACACACGCTGAGATGCAGCATGGTTCACTCATGACTCATGAATTAAAAGCTTAACGAATTGTCATGAATTCTTAAACTTCACTCATATGTGAAACTCCTGAGGAACATAGAACCAGTTGAGGTCCGGTCAGACGCCCCAGTACAGGTTTGAGGATGGTCCCAACCCAACCTGCGGGTCGCCTTTATCTCTCGTGTTTGGGGGCAATCATCTTCCATGATCCAGTTTCAAAAACGAATTGCCGACATGCTGAAATGGGCATGTATCCAAATGAGTACTCCCTGTTTTGGATGGCGTGAAAAGGGGAGCCAAGAGGAAACCAAGCATGTTCCGAGCCCCCAACCCATTTGGCGACAAATCCAAATGGCCAGCATGAATGTCGTATGGTGTTGAAGCGACATACTTGCGACTCTTGCAATTGTTGCCCGGTGTTTAACTTGACCTCCAGCAAGCACAGAATACAAGATGAAAGAGTGGAGCTTGGGCGCTGCTAATTTGGACTTGGGCACTCTCCATGTGCGGTGCAAACACCCCTTTGCCTGGGGGTAGGATTCAGACAATCAGGGGTTCCTACTAAGACAACCATGACCATGTCTGAAGGAGTTTCGACCATGGCACTGTCATGTGGCGGACCACTTGGTTTTGCCATGCTTGCGATTGATGTGGTTGGGTTCGGACCATGTGAAGCCATGGACTCGTGTTTTTTGTTGGCGGGATGCCTGCGATGTCCCCCATCGGCTTCTGCTGAGGTATGAGTGGGTTGATCGTTATTGGTGGTTGGAGGATTTGAACCTTTCTCTCAAGCTAAACAAGAAGGGATCCACCCGACACACCTTGGTGAGGTGATGAGTGGCTCCCACTTCCAAGGGTGAACCTATACACCCGAACATCGCACTTGTCCCAGCAAAGTCTAAAGGAATCCCAGAAAGGGGCGTCAGGCCTTACATGGGTATACGGATTGCCCGAAGAAATTCTATGCTGTGTCACATTGAAGGTATTTTGTCGCGGACACTGAGCCAACACCTTGTTTCTAGAAACATACTCCAACGTTCCCTCAAAATCTATGGTGAGGTTGGGGCGGTTGTGGGGGTTGCTGGAGTCTTCTAGGCAGGTTTCGGGGAGATTCCGGGGCTGTTGAGTATGCTCCCGGCTGGTTTCAAGTTCTGTGGTGGGTTTCCCCAATCCCGAACCGGGTGTTCCTTTTGCCCAAGTCTTGGTGGCTCCAGTGCTCCCAGGCAACCCATTATAGCGGGCCAGGGAAAACCATCATGTAAGACGGGGAAACAAGGAACCCCCTTCGGGTTCCTACAAATCAGGGCTCCCCATCTTTCTGTTCCCCTTTTCGGTGTTTTCAAGCTGCGCCCGTTTGGCTGACGCTTCTTGGCTCCCAGCCATCCCCTTAGCTTCTTGCCTTTTAGTGTTTAGTGGTAGTTTCCCTTTCACCCACGAAAATAACTTGTCGCGGAAAATCTGAGGGCATCCCATTGGTGACGTTTTCTCCGCTGCGAAGCGCTTGGCAGCGCTTGGCGCTTGGCGCAATCCCCGAGGACTATTCGAGCCAGCGGTGGCTCACGCGCTACGCGTGCCTCTTCCTGGCGCAGAGTTCCCTGGCGAGTCTCACGGCCCCTTGGCGCTGAGCCGCGCCGCGCTTTTTCCGTTTCGAAGGGACGTGGCACAGGGGATTGAAAATTCGAGTCTTTAGGGCGGGTGGGAAGCCTTTGAAATGGTGGAAGTTTGAGGATGTCGCTTGTATGGACCCAGGTCTGAGCTTGAGGTTGGCTTGTACTTGGTTTGCTGCAAGTACTGTGGATGGACGGAATCCTGCACCACTTTGAAATCATGGGAAATCATGGGAAACCATTGTTGGCATTGACAGGGGAATCATCATTCCAGGCTTTCTTAGGTGGCGCGAAATGGATTTCGTCCACCCACAGTAGGGGCAATTCATAGGGTGAGTTTAGGGCGATTCTGGCTTGGCTTAGGGTGTGATGGAGCGCCAGAGAGTGACGGAAAAGGCGGGCATGATCCAGACCTCCAGCGAAAGGCATGAATTTTCACTTTCTCAACAGGAAACCAAACAGGGATGGGTACGACGTTGTGGTTTTCCAGACCTAATTGGTACACAGAGACTGACTTGAACGGGAAATTGCAGGGGTTCCCCTTGCTTAACGACACCCTTTTGTATCAGGGGTTCATGTATGGGTGTGTCTTTTGCGAAATTGTTGGGGTTGCAAACATAGGTGTGGACGGCATTCGTCCACTTGGAATCGGAGTCCGGGCAGCTTTTGGGGGTTCCATGTTGAGAGAAGTAAGGATCCCCAATCAGCCTGAAGTACTATCGTTGGCAGTTTTCGAGAATGATCTGTCGGGATCTGGGTGTAACTTTCTCCTCCCCGTTTTCTTTTGGGCAGAGAGCTGCAAGGATTGTTGTGGAAGTCACAATGGCACATGTTGGTTCTGTTGGCTCACAAACATGGGTCAAGGAAATCCGTGACGAAGAGTAGTGCAAGCTATCTCAGCCATGGTCAGCCAGCGTCAGCTCTCCTCGAAGTGCAAACGTTCGAGTGACCTTTGAGATTCCATGTTCTGCCAGTGTTTGTTCCTGATCCAAGTATTTCCTTTACAACACCTGTGAATGAATTGCAATGGGATGCGGCCACTGCTTGTGCAACTGTGGTAGCCCAACAAGAATCACTTAGTTTATGCGGTTGAAGTGGAACCGATTTGCTGAAAGATGGGCACAAGGTCGGTGAGAGGTCGGCTTGTTGAGTCAAAGCCAGCTTTGCCACTAGCTGAGTTCCGGGCCCTTGTCACCTTCGCAAGCAGCTCGTTTGACCGAAATCTGTGCATGACGTCCGTGAGATGTGACGAGTGATTGGAACTTTAGCTCCTTTCAGTAGGGGTTTTGAGGGAAACCACAAGGAAGCCAACCAGTTTTGGGGTGCCACTGAGGACCCCATGGGCATGCCTCTGCCAAAGTCGACCTTCACCATGGTTTTGCCAAAGCCTGAGACGCGGCGCAAGCGAACTGGATATTTTGGAATGGAGCAATGTGAAAAGCTGACGGTGGATCTAAGTCGCATTTAATTATACAATGTACATGATGTCGACCTCAGGGTCCTGACTTAGAACTTGCTCCATGTCAGCAGGGGCACTTTTCACTGTCATCTTTGGTGGCACAGGGATTACAAGTTCGTACATTCAGGGATTCATGAATTTCCATTTGGAAATGGGGCGGTTGGCTTACAATTACCTGATTTCAGTACGGGAGGGCTGGCGATTCTTTGTCTTTCTCTTTGTCCCTCTCTCTCACTCTCTCTCTCTCTCTCTCTCTCTCTCTTTCTGTCCCTGTTTTCCGGTCAGTTCAAAGCCGAACCGAATGGAAACCAAGCGCCGCTGACCGTGACGGCCGGCTTGGCGCAAATTCGGATGGTAAGGCACCGGCCCAGACCGCTCAGCACTTGGGCGGGGGATCCCTGCGACGCAGTGCCAGACAGCGGATTCATGGCACTTGTGGGTGCGCAGATCCTACCGATAAACACTGGAATCTTGACACGCAGGTGGAGGTCTTGCCCACTTGTAATCTATCCAGGAGGTTGCGAAACCAGATTCGTGGCTCAAGTTGTGTTTGGTGTCCCATGAGAATCGCTGGCTGTTGAAAAAGGTACATGCAGCCAGAACAACAAGGACTTTTTGGAGAACGACGTGTTTCTTGCACGACATGTTCGGTCAACCAGACCGCACGCTGCCCATATGAGCATCGCGGAGCCTAAGCCTGCCCGATGCCCAGTGCTTGGCGAGTTACCAGGCGCCACCGGCAGGCGAGAACAGCGCTATTCGCAACCTGCCTCAAGGTTTGGGAAAACGAATGCTTCTGACGGCAACCCAAATAAAACCACCTGCATGTAATTGTGAGAAGCAATTACATGCCGGTGGTTTTATTTGGGTTGCCGTCAGTTTCCTAAACCTTGAGGCAGGTCCTGGTATGTTGTCAGCTTGCTTGGACAAATGCTGATGGCGATCGCACCTGCCTCCGCACTATTTAAAGCGTCTCCTCGGAAAATACTTCTGAAGGTTGAACTGTCTGTTTAATTGTGTAGTACTGCAAACGCGTGCGGGCAAGCAGGCAAACTGCGGATTGGGGCACTCCTTTGGCCAAGCAATGGCTTTCTTCTCGTCAATGCCAAAGGCTTAGTCCGCCTTTGCTTGATTCGTTCACTGGGGCTGGAACTAGCGTTGTATTGCCTGCGCGCCGCTGTTGTCACGGTTCAGTGTCTGGTCTTGTCGGAACAGGCCCCTCCACCCCCCTAGCCCCTCCACCTCACCCCCTCTCCACCCCACCAGCCCCTCCACCCCCAGGCGAGAGCAATGGCTTTTGACATCAAGAAGCCCAACATGGTTCCGGATCACTAGGTCGCCAGCCTTCGCATCCGCCAGGCCGCCAGGCTGATGAATCCACGGTTCAACGCCTTTGCACGCGTGCGCAAACGCTTCTGACCTCTTTTCAACGCGCAAATGTGGCGGAAAGGTTTCAGGGCCACTTGGGTGGCTCAAAATACCAGAGCTAGAGTTGCGCAGGTTTTAGGCTTTGGTTCTACGCAGCAAGATGCCATTGTGGTACTTTTGAGCCACAGCCACCTGTAGCAAAGAGCTGGCCACTGGCTCGGAAGTCTTTAGGTTCAGCCAAGCAGACTCATTCGATAGCTTACTTGTTCCACTCCTTCAAGTGCTTAGGAACCCCGGTAGAATCGTTTGCTATGAAACACAAAACACCCAAAACCGGGGGTTTGCACCTGGTGCTCCGGTTGTTCGGTTTGGAATTTTTGAGACATTGCACGGGGCTTGGCATTTTGAGAGACACCTGCTCCACTTGGTTTGCACTCCGAGCAGTTGACTGCCATCTCTCTTTTCCAGCCTCCGAGGTCTCTCTTGCGCAGCATCGATCATCGCGGGAAAGCCGAGCTCCGAAGGTCTGGAAAAGTGGTGGTTTTCTTTTTGCGCACAGAGTGTGCGCGAAGCGCTTGGTTGTGTTGTTAAAAAAAGGCGATGTAGTTGGATCTTGTTTCACTTGTGGATCAAGCGCCTGAGGCTCTGTACTTGTTGAACTGTTGATGGAGTCTCCTCCCACTTGTGGCGCGAAGTGTTCATTCCCTTCCAATGCTCTTGTTGGCCCTTTGGTGTTTTGTCACCATGAATTGGAATGGGTCCGTTTGGGGGTCAGAATCGCTGCTTTGATAAGCGGTATGTTGATTGATTAAATTCATGCGCGAAGTAAGTCCCCGGGAACTTCATAGCCCGTGGTTCAGATGCTTGCACCGTTCTGGCGATTTACAGGACCTAGTTCCGCTGTATCTGCACAATTAGTTCTGGGGTTCTGTCAAGTTTGCTGTTCGGTTCTGTTGCTTGTTAGTTCTTTGCTACTGCTTTTTCGTTGGAGAGATGCATGTAGTGCTGCACAGTTTGCCCTTTGTTTGCCAGAGTTTGGGAAGGTTGTGTTTCGGGAACGGGATCGTATGAAACCGGAACCTATCGGTATGTTGGTTCGCTTATTGAGGTTGTTCAGATTTCACTTGCAACCGGCGACCTTCTAGTGCTGCTAGGGGAAAGGAACCGATTTGGGAAGGTGCGAAGCTCAAGTGAATCGGTGAACCCCACTCCGTCGCCGCCTTTCTCTCGACGGCATTTGAAGGGAACTGCCAGAAAAAACCCTATCCTTCTCAGGGACTGTTGTTTGAACGGATCTGCAAGGACACAAGCCATTCGGAAGATTCGCTCTTTTTGATGCGGTCGCCCGGTTTCACTTGAGGCGACGAGCAGCAACTCTCCGTTCGGCTCGGCAGCCAAAGGGTCTTTTGAGGTACCCCAGTTGTTGAGTTTTCGGTGGATTCCCCACTAAAGATGGTCAACTCCAGAAAGGGCTTCCTTTTTCAATCAGGACGACTAGGCAGGTAGGGTGCCCTGGGTGGAAGAGTTGGTTGGTGTGGCTGAAAATCAAAGGATGGCAGGAGAACTCCCAGGAGGTAGCTTATACCAGGGGTTCATATCTCGGCGTGTCTTTCTTGAGTTGGTGGACATTAACGTTTTGTTGGGTTAGTCCGAGGGGAACTCGCACGGAACCTGGGCCCCGCTTCATGGATTTCATGTTCATATCCCAGGTGAAGATAAGCCAAACATCCCTTGTCAGGGTTCTTTTCAGGGTCCCCTTTTGTTGGATTGCCCAAGGAAAACAAAATCCCAGAAACTCACAAATGTCCAGGAGGGGAGCTGTGGGGTTCGTGTCTCGGGGGAAGGAGGGGGGAACAGACATGGAGCCCTGGTCCTCATACTTTTATTTTGAATGACAGGGAGCATGGCAGAGCCCAGGACTTGCTTTACTGATGTGATGCAACACTGCCACTGCATGCGTCCATTGTGCTGGAAAGGTGAGGGTCTCGCAGAGCTGCAAGGACCATATCCAGTCAGCGCAATATGACAATCTTGCTGGAATGCTTGGCTGCGGGCTCAATCAACTCAGATCCGACACATCAAGCTATGACCATCGTTGCCAGCTAGAATGTTGGGATCTTGTGATCTGATTCGCTCGACAGTCTGGGTTTATATGGTCCTTTGTTGGGCCAACGTGCTGGATTGTTGACCATAGCACGTGCCCTCGTGACTCACGCCTCGTGAGGTAGGTTCTTCAGATGTGGCGTTCCGCCCAACTTGCTTGTTCTCAGTACCATCCCTTGCGGTGTCCTAACAAACAACTTAGCTGCCTTTCCAAAGCCTTTGGAGCGATGTCCTAGGCCCTACAACATTGGGGTGTGGACCAAGTGTTGGCTGAGCACCATCGGGACGGGAGCCCTAGAGGAGCTTGAGCATGACAGAATTGGGTGTCTCAAAATTCGAAAAGACAGAAACCTGCAAGCTGCCATTGAACCTGCCAGACAATTTGGTTTGGAGCGAATCCCTCCGGCAAGGCTAGTTTTGAAACGGCTGTTCCTGTCTGTCTTTTCATGGTGGTAGTACGTGCTGAATGGGCGAAATGGTGGGTAAGCCGTTTCCCGAATTATTGTTAATTCGCTTTGAGATCCTGCGTAAACAAAAGACCTCAGAGCAATCGCCTTTCTTCTGTCAGCGTAAAGGAGCAGCTGCTTGCTAAGGCTTGCGGAAGGACTTTGACTTGAGGGACAGCCAGCAGCCTTTGCAGCTCCCATGCTTCCACTACTGAACAACACTGGCAGTCCTCTTGGTGTTTGGCTGTTAGTTTGGGCTGGACATTGAGGGACGACACAAATTCCCCCAGTTTGTGCATGCACTTCCAGGCATCCATAGGCCAAACACCTCCTTTGCTTGTCCAGCGAGGCTTCGATCTGATTGACAGGGCAAATTCTTGTGCGACGACTGGTGGGAAAACAACAGGAATCCCCATGGTTGGTATAATATGCGGTTCAGTTTTTTGCAGGAAGCAAGCAACGTTCGAAGTGCAGAAGCATTAGTACCAACAACATGTTTGCCACACACTTAAACGCCTGATCTCCGGGCATTTTCCCGAAGCCAAGTGGAAGGAAGCTGAAGGCGGATTCCACAACGAACACGGTCCCTAAGGGGTGAATACCTCTCAGATAGCCTACCCACATTGCCGTGGAACCCAAATGGGGGAGGCTCCCGAAAGGCCTTGTGGATTGACGTTGGCCACGTGCACCGGCTGAACTGCGACTCATGCAACTGTGGTGTGGCCAAGCAGATTTTAGTTGCACCTCACTCATACTTTGCCATATTTGGGAGGGTACCAGGCTTGAGCATGTTGTGCTTGAGCATGTTGTGCTTGAGCATGTTGTGCTTACACAAGCAGACTGGGTCACTCATGAAGCTTCTTGTTTGGAGCTCCGCTTCTTGTGTTGAATTGCCCTCCTACTTCATGGCTCCCACCAGAAGGTTCCTTCAATAGATGGTCTTCCCAGAGCTTTCTTTTGGTCTATGGCCTATGGCAACAAAAGATGGGGTGGCTAACCCCCACTGTTTCTTTCGGGAAAGAACATCTCTGTAACACTTCTGAAAGGGGTATATGTTGGCCTCAATTCTCGAACCCAGATCCAAGGGATGGGTTTTATTTCACACAGGTCCACGTGGGACCGATGGTTCAGGCGAATGAACTTGCAGCCCATCTTCCTGCCGGTCTACCGCTCGGGACGCTGGGGCTCCCGGCCTTGGCAGAAAACCTGTGCCAGGGGCATTTGGGGTGCCGAGAACATGGCCCCTGGCTGGGACGAAGGCCGAAAACCAGGTGGGCAAAGGCGGGCCCCCTGACCCTGGGTCCCATCTTTTCTGAGTCGTGGCGCATTTTACAGAGTTCCGGACCCACAAAGGGTCAACCGTTTGTCAGACCATGCGTTTGGCAAGGAGAGGGTTCACACTTTTGATATGGTGGCAAGGATTTCAGAATTGCCAACAATGTAACAAACCCAAATTCCCTCCGCAAACAATGTAACACACCCTCCAGGTGGAATTCCAGATGCAAGGAGCCTGAAGGGTTGGCTACTAAAGTGCCTTACTTACCTGGAAGCATGGGGTGTGGGTGGGCTTGTTGGTGTGGCGGTGCAGGGATAGGCAGGTGGTAAATGCGGGCAAGGCGGCCCGTCTTCGCAGGCGTGCAGATTTGGCACGGAATATTCTTCGGTACTTAGATTGCAGCTTCTCAGCAGCTTCCAAACAAACTGTCAACAGCCATCTGGTGGTTGGAAGGGAGCCGTTACGGAGCTGGGGGTATCTAAATTTGCTTTTAAAGAGAGAGCTAAGGAGCTACCAATCGGAGTTCTAGAAGAACATGGTCGACAAGTTACCTTTTTGCGGGACCTGTAGCGGTGGCACCTCTTCTTATGGTGCAAGGTACATTCCCAATATGTTGCAACTCGCGCATCTTTATGTGGGTCTGATGGGCATGTCTTTTTGAGAGGATACCATTTTTTGGGTTCTTTTGCGGAGGAAAGTAAAGGGCGGAAACAAAGTGCTGCAGCTTACTGGGTGCATGTGGTTTTTCGAATCTCTCGGACCTTTTGCTGCCTCATCCTCTGACATGGGGAAGCGGGTCCCGTCGACTATTGTTTGTGGGGCA